GTGAACTCGCTCAAGAACTTGATCAAGTTATGTCTCCGCTGCGAGACAAATTCGCGCAAAAATGTTTGATCGGTTCTACTGTATAAGTTTGATTTAGTATTCGAAGGTGGCCTGAGCGAAGCAAGGTTTGCAAGCATAAGTTCGCTTTGATTTAAAAGCTACACGATGGACCTTGAAGGATGTGCGTATCTCATACCTATGTCAGGTACGAATATCATCTAATAGAATATTCATCACTATATACATAACAGCGCTATGAACACGCTCGCAACACCACCGGGACTTCGTCGTTTATGCAGGCATGGCATGTGTGAATCTCATGCCTCATTCGAGTATGCTTAGTATCACTGATATATAATGCATTGCCTCCGCATAACTTAGCATCTAGTGGCGCCCAATAAAATATGTGTGGCTAGCGTGTCTGAAGTATTAATTGAAATAACTGTGAACATTCAATGTTGTCTTGCATTTTCTATATGAGAGGACGTTTCAATGAAGCATTTGGCACCCAACGACGAGCTCCTAAGTTGTAAATGCATTGCGAATTTGTCTCTTGACTCCTCGCTGGCAAATGTATATATACAATTGTACATCTCACTGCCAGCAAGACCTGATGTGTTTGCTGCCTTGATTTGTTGGTAAGCCAGCTATCCATTTTCATCATTAAACCAACCCGAGTGTTAACTAATGAGTTCTCAATGGCCTTATCGACAGTTTAAGAGCTGTTATTATCGCAGGTTTTTGTGGCATACTAGCAGAGACCGAAGTGAATCTACTCTCTTGAAGTTGCTAAAAATAAGCCCATGTAAAAAGTCCGTGCAAGAATTCCATTCTATTGCGACTTCTAGGGACATTCGGCATCTTGTGCGTAACGCAGTGGCAATATCTCGAGTGTTCGCCCCCCCCCATTCCCCCTACACAGCTCCCTTCCTAATCCCCCTGATACATTCTTCAGTTTATATGACAGCCTCGCCAACAAACGCTTCACTTCTACTCGCATCGCTAGGCGCCGAATCGCTCAGGAAAACGTTTCTATCTTCCTCACACAACATTCCTGTGACACCAACATTGCGCTTCCTTGAAGAAATGAATAATTAATTTCTGGTCGATTGCATTTTTCTTCGCTCATGGCAGCACCAAAATAATAAATTTTCTGTATACTGGATGTGCCAGGCTGAAGTTGAATTTTTCGCGGCTGAATTTCTGATTAAAACCGGGATGCAGTGTTAATATTGTGTTATTAATCAAGAAATATGATTTTTTTCTGTTCGAGCATGTGTATTTTATGCAGGAAAGTAACATTTACTAGCTCTCGGAAAATTTGAACAAGTGACTAGTGACAGAGGTGCCTATACCGAGCTCTCCTTAGAACGCCCACGGCAAACCTCAGATGCTTCTGCGGGCCTTTTTTTCATGTGGCGCTGCTGCTGTGGTTCATCCACTTGGCGCCTCGGCCCAGACCGCGAACTGGATTTCTTTACAGTCCCCATACAAAAAAATCTAGAAACCATTCGCAACGAAAGAGCGTACGCGGTTTTGCTGTCAAAGTAAAAAAAAACTGCGTTTAGTTTGAATTTGTTGTATGTTCTGGAAAGTGAGGTATTTTATTCCGCCACTGATGATCTTGAGATGCTTGCATGGATGACTGGTCATTTAGAGACATCGATAATACTCGGAGAGCCTCTCGAAGCTAAAACTCGGAGCTCTGTTCATGGCCTAATGCCTTACGCGAGTCATAAATCGCGTTTACGACAAGATCCATGATGATGTATTCAATTCTGTTGGTCATGCGAACCTCATTTCGAAACGAAATTTCATGCAAACCTAATTTCGAAAATTTCTACGATTTCTCCATCGTCGCTGAACCCCGAAGTTAGAAATGTACACGTTCAATGAGTCACTATTATAATTCAGATGTTAATTTTTACTCTTTGCTGTTAATTTGTACAGCTAATGAAAGAAACAGTTACAAATTTACTGAAATGCCGGAGCGTTCATATCATGGTTTCAATTGAAAACATATGGCCATCACTCAGGTTGCGTCAACTAATGATTTTAAAACAGTGATTTTCTCTATAAATATATTTATTTGTTGAGATTAATTTCATTCTAATGCCTTACCATTGAAACAACATGATGAGCAACACGAGGTCTCCTCTTTCGTGTCTACTGATATCTCTGCTCTAAAGCTTGATCAAACGAATTCCTTATGAATAAAAAAAATATTACGCTCATTCTAGCGATTAAACAAGAACCTCGGTTATGGTCATAGAAGAAATTCCAATTTGGTAAAATCGCCGCATGACATGGAGGCCTGACGATAATTTGGACGTCGATTATGAAGAATTGTGCGAGTTACGGAGGCTCATACGGCGGCCACTTTCATTTTTGGAGGCTTTGGTGATAGCTGTAGGGCGATCGCCGGTAATCTGGGCCTCCCGACTGCTACTGTCAGGCTGTTCTGGGACGGAGGCTTCCAAGCCAACCTGATGATACATTGCACCGGTGCTGCAAAAAAAAAGCGCCACTGGAGCAACTCTTGAATGGAGAATTTAAATATGACCTGAAACATTGCAACTATTCTGAAACAGCGGATATTGAGCAGTTTAGGATGACGTCTGTATCAGGACGATGGGCATCAGGAATTAAGGACGGCAGCTGTTTTGGTGCAGTCCCTTCAGTGTCCATTCATTGATACCATTTGGAGCTGCATTTCAGATCAGCGCATTGAAGTATCGCGGAGCAAATTTATATTGCACGTTATCTCTATTCTGTTGAAGAGATGATGTTAAGAGATGTACTGCAAAAAAATCCACTTCCATTGAAACGTACCCACACGAGGATACGCAGGTATTGCCGCACTCGCCAGAAGAAATTTTGCCGTCACGTCAAGCATATAAACAATAAATCAGGCTAATTTATCCTTGAATATTTGCGATTCAGTGTGCAACTCAAACAGTATACTTTCATATGACCCTGTTCTGACCTGGGTCTGCTCACTGACCCTGCGAACTCTACCTACTACGAGTAAGATAAGTGGAGCTCAAAGAACTCAGGCTATGTTCCAGGGCCTACACTTTCAAAAAAGTTAAGAGATCGTAAGTTCATCAGCCAATCATTGACGGCCTTTCAAGCAAAATCCACCAATCATAGACAAGAAAATAGAGCGTAAGTACTTACGTTCACTTAACAAATTTTGAAAGTATGGCCCCAGGTTATTTGACGATGGACTAATCATCAAAATAATCAAAGTGTGTTTATTACTGACGCTCATTATACACATCCATTGAAAGCCATTAATACCAGCATTACTATGAGTGTTTTGTGTCATCATTGTGAACGTTATTACGAGCATTACGTGTTTTCTGTGTTAGCATCACTGCGATCATTTCGTGCCTTCGCTTGGTCGTTAGTACGATCATTGCGTGCCGTCCATACGGGCGTCAGCACGACCATTGCGCGCATTTATTACGTTCTTTATCAAATGAAAGTCTTGCACACGTTATTGCGACATTTATATATAAATGCTAGAAAAACAGATAATGAGTTTCTAATTAACGGCTGCAACGTAATTCTACTAATTCGACCCCATCACGTTAATACGAATCTTGTTACGAGCATTAAAGTCCGTCCTCACTGTCATCAAGGCATGAAAGACGTCGTTACCGCCCCCAGAGCCCGTTATTTTGTACGTCTTGACTGTCCTGTATAATAACGTGCTGACGGTCATCTCGGTTTGTGTTTATTTACCGGATGTCGTTACGCAAGAACTGCTGCGTTTCGTTGAGGCTCCACGTGGAAACAGCTGCTGCGTTTCGTTCGAGAAGAAGCAGCTGTCCACTGCTCCCGATGGTCTGTTTAGGAATGCGGACGTGGGTCTGGCGATACATCGATTAAATCTCCTCTAAAATCTGAAATCTTGGCCGGAGTTGATTGCTAGCAAATGGCCTGGAATCTTGTGCCTACAATCCTTATGTAATGTCGGGCATCGGGCTACCAGCTGCTTTCATGGCATCAGTTTGTAGCGAAACTGTGATTTTTTATTGACATTCCCATTTAATTCAGATAAAAGCGTTATATCCTCTATCTGTAGGAATCCGCTATTTAATCAGAACGCTCGGCTGATAAAGAATAATATATATTTTAATATAATAAATAAATAAATTCGAATAAATATATATTTTAATTTGTCGATTTACTCAATTAATTTTTATTCGTCAATTCGTTTAATTGCTGACGAATAAGTAAAAGAATTTTCGTAAATTTTGGCAAATATATATTTTTATTCGTCAATTTTTTTTAAATTAGGGAAATTATTCTCTTTTTCAATTGAATTAAATAGGAATTAACGCAAAGTATCCAGACGTTTAAACCAGAAGTGATTTGTGCAGTCAACTGTAGGGCAGCTACGGGAAACAACTATTCTCACAACGGCTCTACCAGTCCTTGAATTTTACCGATGTTCGGCAAATGTAACTTTATTCTTTCAGGCACAGTAGCATAAAATAATTGGCCGTCTAATTTTACATGTTAAATCAAGTTCAAGTGTAGGTTCTTCAAACTTCGCTACATGTTCGTCATTTTAAAACATTGAGAAACAACAAGATTGATAAAATTTGTTAAACAAATGTATTTTTTATAGAAATATTTGTGTTTTTTTTTTTTGTCGCTAAATAGATGATAATCATTAGGTGATAAATGTTGATTAAGATTTTGGTTCATTGAAAAATTCAAATTATTGTACTTTTTGATTAAGCTTTAGTTTGAATATTAAAACTTACTGCCGATACAAAATTTTTACTGTTTTCTTTATTTGAACGCGATCACATAAGCCCGAAAGTTAATTTTGAACTTTGATTCATAGATTCTCCAGACGGAAACGACTTTTTTTTTGGTTGTTGGCGGGCTAGTTTTCATTACTTTTTTTGTCATCGATATTTTTTGTTTCCCCCTATCATTAATAATTATATACATTAACTTCTATTGTTTTTCCGATACAGAAAAAGAAGTTTTCGATCAGTTCTAATGATCTAGCGGGGAAACAAACATTTTATTCGAGTTCTGACGAGAAGAACCGTCATATGTGGCTGCTCTGCAGGCTTCACCACCAGCACTCCAAGTCTGTGAGACCTCGAGTACAACGACTGCTCAGACATGGACCTCGATTAGGTGAGACTCTTCTTATACCTTTTAGCGCAAATGACTGATGAACTTTTTCATAAATTTCAAAATATTACACGGAACTTTAGAATCTTGTGCACCTTTCGCAAATCTTGTCCATTTGTACTTGAAGCTTCCCTTTTGGCTGCCAACTTATAGCTATTTGAGCCAGCGTAGTGTATATAGATTTATGTACAAGGTTCGTGACATATATTGTGCGTGCCTTGCCCGTGCGCATGCGATGAAGAAATAAAATGTGGGTAGTGTTTCCCGTGGACTTCTGATGTACCATCTGTCGCGCGAGCCTGGCTCAGGGCGACGCATTCCTGACATTTCTTATGAGTTAATCCCTCAGGCTCGACATGACCTGCCATTAACTGCCTCCCCTTAGGCCGCCTCAATTCCCCTTCTCACTCATTGACCAATATTTAGAAATGTTTGGGGAAGCTATTCTTCGCGTAAATTCGTGCCAAGTATTCAGCCAAGTACGACATAATTTCTCCTTACAATTACTGACTTATACTAGGGAACATTTGTGGGTACTATTCAACTATAAGTAATTGATCAATACTTTTCACGTTTGGACACCTCGATCCTTCTTTAACCATTTAAGGAATTAGTCAATATATAGCGATGTTTGGTAAGTGTCGACTCAATGCATTTCATGGTCTCTTTTCCCTTATTCTCTGAACATATATTTGAACTTATCAAATACTTCGTTACGGTTGTCAAGGTGCTTTATTTCGATGTTATTACGATCATCGCTATTACGATTTTTATTTATTATTCAAACGATTTAAGACTCCCTCATTGTACAGAACGTCGAGTGACTCGTAACAGCAGCCACTACAGCCGGAGTTCAGGCATGGAGTTTTCTTCAGTGGAAACATCAGCATCACTTGACTCGATCAACCTACTAATGGATGACAGACTGACTCTTCCCCACGCCGTACGTCTGGCAGGGCACCGCGCCTCAGGCAGCCTTGACAGCCTCCGCAACTATCTTAGCAGCTCGCCCTCCTCAGCGTCCTCGGAGCCCTCGCAGCCTCCGTCAGCTGACCTGCCCTCGGCACTGAGTTGTGGTGAGACTTCTTCCTGAGGGAAGGCTGGCCTACCTGAAGCAGGCTAGTTTAATTTATGAGTGCAACAATTAATTTATCGCCACATTAAACAAGTACTGGGGAGTTTATTTATCACAGGAACAAGTGGAAATATAACTACATTAGTTTATCTGCTAACTAAATAAAAAAGTATGTACAGTTGCCAGAAAATAAATAGGGTGTGTGATAACGTCAGTGGCTATGGATAGCAAAGTGTAGTAACGTAATTTTGCTACTGATGATAAGTCTAATGACGCATTTACGTGTAGATTGTTGCAAGCAAATGTTAGGCCATAAGTCAGTCAGTCAGGAAGCAGTTTATTCCATGCATTCTATCCAACTCAGTTTATCCTTGGTGAAAAAGTCACAAGTAAAAACAGCTTATCCGATCATTTAGTATTAGTTTAGCGAGAATTGCTAAGTTTGTACTAGGTTTGCTTCTAAGGAGACTTAGTCTTACGCCTTTATTTTTTCATTCAAAATACATTTTATTTGCCTACTAGTTTGCACTATTTAATAATGTACATTTCTCTAATCCGGCCAACTAAAAATTTCGGAACTAATTCCATTTACTTCACAGACTTGCAAGAAGAGTTGCCTCTCTCGTTGAGCACTCCTGGGTCTCCCGAATGCTCCAGAGCTGCGACCGTGGGCAGAGTGAGCAGCATCCATTCTTCGTCATCTCAACAGTCAGCTTCAACAGTGCGCTCAAAGTACTCAATGATGAGACTACAGCCTGAGCTGACGCTGGGAGCTCAACTAGCTGACCTGTCCCTGTCTCCTGACTTGCCTGATTTGGCTGACCTGCCATCCATGGCCTCGAGACCCATCAACGAATGTGATGCAGTTGATGGCGCTGACAACGCCACGCAGCTTCACACTGCACACAATTGCTGCTCAACGTGCTGTGACGATCACGACAATGATTCTGACGAAGATAGTGACAACGAGCAGACGATTGCATCGTGTCACTGTGGCTCGTGCTCAGTGTGTGGCATGCGACAGGCCGCTGATGAAGGCCTCGACAGCTTTCCAGATTCTGCTTTCCTGCCACACGGAGCTCTCCTACCCTCCCATCTTGAACATTCTAATCAAGCTTACAGATATACTGATAACTTCATGGCATTAGAAAACACCGATGATTATGTCGAATTTTACAAGAGCTTGTCGCACGGCGACACAAGCCTACTCGACGTTAATAGTGAGGATCCCGGCAATTCTTTGCAGGATTATCCGCCACATTCCTCTGCCTCCGACGTGGAAGAGCAACATCTTGATTACTCCGTGGAGAGCGCACACGAGGCTTTCAGTGGAATATATGCTAATCGAAACTATCTCAATTATGATGGCTGTATTTCTCCATCACTCGGATCAGAGAGTGACAGCGGCAGATACTCCATGCTACACCCTGCAGCCGTCACAATGGCTACCATCACAACCTCCACTCCGGTGTCCATAGCTTCTTCAAGAATGGGTGTTCCTACTTCCAGGTCAGACTCTATGAGATCTGATGTGTCGAATGCAGACACCGGGGCTCCTATGGTTGCTATAAAAGAAGTTCAGGTTGCAAATTCTTCAGAGGCACCTGCTAAACTTATAACTTCCCGACACAGGATTACTGTGCTCAAAGCTCACACGCAAGAAACCTTTTCACCGGCAGCCTCCCACCAGGCGGTGCCCCTAACCCGAGGCAGAGGCCACACGTTGCCGCAAGTGCCGCCCAAACAGAAGCCAGGAAGCATTCAGTCCCTACAGCGATCTGCTTATCCATTCTCTGTTACGAGACAGTACGCATTATGTCCACCCTGCATCCCGGAGATAAACAGTCATTTAGAGCACAAGCTTGAGCCGGCTTTGCCAGTAATTCGTAAAAATAATTATTTAGATGTCCGTGCTTCTTCTTCTATCAGCAAAAATCGAACTAGAATGCACCCCCGCCAGCCTAGCACTGTAGCCCAGAGAAGTCTTTATTTGAGGCACCAAAAGAAAGAATTACTTCAACAGCAACTGAGAGAAAAACAAGAGAGACAATTGTTGGAGCAGCAAATGAGCAGCGAAACCGTGTATCAACCTGATGCCTACGCACAAGGGGTCGGTGTACCATTACAACCTGCACCCACCATTGCTGGTTACTCTCAGTGCTCGCATCACCAACTCCTGGGCCAGAGTCCAATATCAAATCGCCCGTCGCTGCCTTCTGCGTCACACCACATTTGTCAGTCTTATCCTAGTGGTTTATTTCACAACCAACCTCTGCCTCCGAGCAACATGGTTTGTGATGGAAGTTCCTGTCACTTTGGGACGAGTTGTGGGTATCCTTCAGACCCCATGGTTCCACATTCAGGGGCTTATCATTACAATGCTGAATCGCCAAGTTATGCGTCATCTCGCCTTCAACCTCAACATTTTGCTTCGGTTTACACAAATCAAGTTAGTCTGAGCCAGATCGAACAGTATAAAGCGCAGCTGAACTCGGACGTTGATTACGTTATTTACCCTCTCAAAGACCCAGCTATCAGTAGACAAGAGTACATGGATGCTAAACAAAGTCAGGTGATAGCAAATCAAACTCAACAGCAACAGCAGCAACAACTGCAATTTCAACTGCAACGTCAATTAGGCGTCGCTAAATCGACTAACCAAATCTGCCGGCCTTCGGTGCCACCCTACAGAAGCCCGAAGCTGAACCCGCTCTATCGCTCGACGCCCAACGTCACGGGACAAATGACCTCTAGTGTTATATCTTCCTACCCGTCTTACCTGAGTCTCGCGTCACACAACTCCATGCACCAGCCTGGGTCCTCTTCAGGCTATTCGTCCATGGCTCGAGGACGCTTTTTCTCTCAGCAGTCGTTGAGTTCCTCGATGTCATCCACACAGTCTGGCTACTCCGCTTCTACTCAGAGCTTGAGTGGCAGCTACGATCCCTATGGAGAAATTATCATGACGACCGCTCCTCCGTCCGTGATGCGGGTGCGCTCTGATGAGTCCATCCTGTCGTCAGCTCTTGACGATTCCGAAGGTTTATCTGTATCTTCTGCCCCTCCTCACCAACGACCCCCTCCCCCTTACCGCCCCAAGGTAACCATACACCGCAAGTACGTCCAAGAGCATCGTGCATGAACTTATCAATATTGATGTATTGGCACCATAATAAGTGGCTCTTTGATTTGCTCTCAATTAAAGTTCATTTGAGGACTATTCATTTCCTTGAAACTATTCATTTAAATGAACATAAAAGTCAGTTCGTCTAATTCACACGAATTTTACAAGTAAAAACTCCACATGTTATGAGTGCCAAATCTTGCACGGCTTTTGTCTTAAGTGATATGTATTTGATTTCAGCCGTCTTGCATGTCCTGACATTGCGGTTGAAGTAGGAACTGAGCATCCTAACTTAGAAACCTGGCGTAGATTTTTTTTTTGGCTACTTGTGTCCATAAAATTTGTTTCTAATGCATTCTTAAAACATGGAATGCACGCCTAAAATCTGGACCCAGGACTTTTTATGCAGAAGGGACTTAAATTATATGCTAGTGACCTGAATTAAATAAAAAAGTGAAGAATGAGAATTTTGGGCAGTACGATAATCCATCGAAAATATATTTATATTCATTTTAAATCTGCCTATAGTCACCAAAAGTCGCACATGACCTTGCGAATTAAGCCCCAAACATGATTGTGAGACTTATTTTGATGTAGGCTATGTGCATGAGTAGAAATAGAGTAGTTCTTATATTAAGGTAATATATTCTGATAAACTGGCCTTGCTACCTCTTTAATATTACCACAGCTCTACGTGTGCGTGGCAGTACTTGAGTCTGCGACGTAACATCTCGTGAATTAAAAAGGCTAATCAATCCCTCTGCCCTCCTGATTTAATTATCGTCTTAAATTAGTTTCAGCGTATGAATTGAAATACTAGGACTGCTATGATTAAAGTTCATGAAGTGCATGCTCTAAAATGATCACCGTTTCTTTAACTTAGAAGGAGATCGAATATAGTGAAGTTTCTAGTCAACAATTAGGTAGTTTAGTTGTCGACCTCAAACATGATTAGTGAATGCTTTATGTTATTTAAAATATTTTGGACTGTCCGTAAATCACTTTGATATTCATCAAGATGAGCAAAACAAGTTGGTTTGATTTTTATAGTCTCTAGAAGTGTCTCCCAAAATGTTCGTAGTTTGTTAAAATGACCAGAAAAATTTCTCTCTACGGTGCTAACTAACTTTCTTATTTTCAGAATTGAAAGGAGCTATAATTTTTGCAGATTACCCCGCATCCCAAAGATTATATCTATTGTTTTTTTAAAGTTTCGACAGTAAAAATCTGTCGTTCACATGGTTATCAGGTTTGCACTTTCAGAGGAGTATATCGAGCAGCCGGCGAGGTCTCGTCACATTGCAGGAGCTGCGTGAGCGAGGGAGCCAACTTGACGTTCCGCTCCTCGCAGCCTTGTGCGCCGACGTCAGCTTGCGACCACCACCAACAGTCAGCGAGTCAGCGACTGCTGCTGCAGCAGTACCACTACCTGCAGGAGCAGCTGAGGCGAGGAGCCAAGGCACGTTCGGTGCCGGCTTCTCGTCCCAATGTTCCTCCTCAACTGCCGGCGCGTTACACGGAGCAGCAGCACACCCCATGTTCAGCCCCCCAGCAGCTACTGCCCAGCAGGCGGCCTCCTCATCCACCACCCCCGGCCTCCGCATGCCAGAGGCACCTCAGTTCATAATGAACTTCGATCCATGTCGGCATGCTAATCTCAGGAAAAAAGAGATCGTGAGTGGCAAAAAATCTACTCGACGTTATTCTGTGGCAGGACTTCAGACGACTAATCAAATTCAAGCTCCACACGTGGTTTTTGGCAAAGGAAGCCGGAAGTTGCCGGCGTTTACCACGCACATGCATCCAAATCCTGATAATCTTCAGCAAATTTTGACGGCCGAAGACCCAGCCGTGCTTGCTGCCAAGCGTAAAGCTAACAGATTAGTGAAAGATCGAATGTGAAAAAAACGATGAGTGACAGATCTACTATAAATCATGATGGAAGTAAACGACAATTTGTGAATTAAATTCTCGTAATGGTTACGAGATACGTGGTTTAAAATAAATTGAACTGTGTAGTGCAATACATTCTTGATGGCACAGAAGAGTTCTTCTGACTTTATCCACTTCAGGCAATTGTGGGCATAAGTGTGCAGCTGTCAGCTGACTTTTCCCGTGTTAGTTTTAACGAATTGAGCGTACATGCAATGCTTAATGTTTCCAGGTGTATTTATTACGTTACCCCCCATGAAAGTACAACACTAAGAATGCTTGGCTGTTCTTCGCAGCTCATTGGTTAAGTTATCGTTGGTAAGGTTTTAGAACATTGCTCCTTAGGTGTGGAATTGCTGCGTCTCAAGCATCTTCTCCTCTCAGGAAATGTAGATTTGGTTGCTGCCTATGATAATGTTCCGGATCATTACTTGGCTTGGAATACTGCTGATATCGCTTTGTTACTTTGCTATATGCATAACAAAAAAAATTGTAAGTAGGTTTGTTTACCATTGATCTACATCCCCATATAAAATTCATTTTTCGGTTTAGTTCTTCTCGATTACACGAGAAGAAGCTTTGCCCTGAAAGTTGATTAATTTTTCATAAGTATACGAGTGCAGCAGCTCATAAGAAAGGATCGCTCTTTTTTGCATTAACAAACCGAGAACTGGAAATTATTTGCAGTGAAGATCGTCTTTTCTGAGCTCAAGATCTTCGTATACTGATTTCCAAACTTCTAAATCGTTAGGCATCTGTTGAAAATACTATTCGTTTTCATCACGTTGTAATTTTTTCACCGTAAATTCGTCTTTTCAACCTTAAAATTTGCCTCAAAATACATGTCAAAGGACGAGACAGCATTTCTTACAATCTTCCATCACACGAATAGCCCATTTTACGTATTACAACAGTCAACCTGATCAATCGTCCATTTTTCATATACAATCATTCACCATACAAATCGTTTATTTTATTGATTACAATAGCCCATCTACGTAGATGCGCAGTGTTCTAGGTATGAAATCCTTAGGTTCAAGGTGGTCTATTAACCACTTATTCAATGTAACATGGATTATTTGGAATTTTCGATTTTAAATTACGAAGTTACCTTTAATGAATTGACTCCGCACCATAAGGAATGATTGCATGTCTCATGCATTTCAATATTAATAAGGTATTAGGAGTACGTAAATTAGTTGCGGGCCTCTTCCTTAGCTTGCTGTGCTAGCAGTGGCTTCTCGCGAGTGTAAGTGGCGACAGTGACTTTGTTATCCTCGTTTTGTTATCACTTGTTAGTTCGATGCACATTAAGTTACGTATCTTAAGATTTTAATCTATCATTCCAAATGCAAGCCATGGTGTTTGATTAGTGATAAGTTGAGAATACAGTTTGAAGTTTGTTAGGTGTTTGTTGGTATGCTAGAGCCCCTGAACTTTCTAACCGTGAGAAGATGTAACTCTCGTCTGTGGATGCCTGATATTAAAATGATCTTTCATGTTCCCGATTCCCACCGGAAAGAACGGCAGTTTTATCTGCTGAAAGCGTGCAGACGGCTCTCTCTCTTTTACTTTGAGGTCGTAGTTGCGTCGTACCTTTACGACTGTCGTCGATAAGACAATGAGTCGTTGTGTCCTCAACAGCTACGACGTTACTCAACACGTACGACGTTACTCAACACGTACGACGTACGTTACTCAACACCGACGTACGTTACTCAACACGTACGACGCTACTCAACACGTACGACGTTACTCGACACGTACGACGCTACTCAACACCAACGACGTTACTAACACGCAAGACGTTACTCAACACCGACGTACGTTACTCAACACGTACGACGCTACTCAACACGTACGACGTTACTCGACACGTACGACGTTACTCGACACCAACGACGTTACTAACACGCACGACGTTACTCAACACGCACGACGTTGTTTATTATTCATCAGGAGGAGGGATGGAAGACTCGCTCGATTTATCTTTCGTGTGTATTTATGGCATGGCCACAACACATGAAGGGTTTGTATTGGGTTTTCGATTCAATTTTTTTCAAAATTCTACAAGTTTTTGCTGCTGAAAAATGAACCTAATAGACTGTTATTGTATCCTTGGCAATGTTGCGTATATTGAAAAAAGTTGCTACTTCAAGGAATAGTAACAAAATATTTGTTTCATGTAATCATTAGTTACTGCTAATAACATAATGATAAAAAAATAACTTATCCCAGTCAAAATTCCGAACGCTCTAAAGTCCTGCTTGTTCTACTTGAAATATTTTCTCAGTATTTATATAGATAACTTAAATTAAACCAATATAAATACACTACGATTATCGGCGGCTAATATCTATAGACCTTACTCATTTGATCATAACATATATTGTACGCGGAACATTTCAGTGCCCTCGAACAACTTGGCTGACACTCGCCATGTACGTAAGAGTCTTATGAAACAGGACATTAAACTTTTCCCGTTGTTCGCATACAAGATAGAATTTTTCGAGTTTGTCGGATATATCAGGTTTGGCGTTCAAGTCGTAAATTATTGTTACTAAATGAACGCTTCTGGGTTGCGCTCTCATTCGTGCGACATTCGCGTTTCTTGGCATCGCGTTAGTTTTAAGTTGAACCACACTTACCTCAGTAGGCTTTAGGACTTTACGAATAACTTCTTTGAATTGTTAAAAATCTAAATTTTTGCTGCATTAATTTTTAATTTTAACTTAGATGAGGGGGTTTATGACTAAATGCTCCACTCTTGTTAACTGTTCAATTTGCATAACCGAATCTGTTTCTACTGCGTTCTCGATTCTTCTGACACTGACAGTATTAGCGTTTTTATACTGAACTTTTTTCTCGTAAATGTGTGATCCAAATGTTAATGGAAACTTTATGCAGCATGTTTCGGTCTGGAATTGAGTCTATGCGTGTAATATGTGTGCACTGAATTTGTATTTTTAAGGTCTAGCTTCTTCTGCTCTTGAAGTGACGATTTTACTTCTTATCTCTCCCAATCCTTAGGAAAATCCCGAGTAAAAGAATCCTAGACGAGTTGATAAGAGTTCGTCCGTTATTCTCTAAAATGGCAATGAATGCAAATAGCGTTCTTCAGAAAACCATAGTGGAATAATTCAAGGCAATATATTCAGTTAAGGTCATCTTATCAATAGTTGCATGACACTTATTAGACATAAACATGTTGTTCTTCACTTCTGTGCCTGATTATAGCGCTGATTTGTTCATCTGCGAACCTTGCAATAAACGATACACAATAGATTACAAATAGATGGTTGTTACCTGCATAAGGCACCCCTACCTTATTTATAATCCGTTCTTCTAAAACATTAGCAGTGCCATTAAGAGCCATTCCATAGCAGTGCCATTAAGAGTGGGGATGAAACTGCTTCTCGGTCTTGATCTTGCAAAAAGCTATCACCTTAGAGTAATGTAGATGGATCGAGGCGCTGTATTAGGCTGATTGTCAACATCTTACATTAGATTTTCTTGCTTATTTATAAGCCTGCTTATGCAACGTTTCCTGATGTTTCAAGAATGACAGACGCGCTCATCATCTGAGTTTAAAACATTATAATCCGTGCTTTCGCGTCCACAAAAGTGTATTGTAAGCAATTCAACTTTGCTATATCGACGTTATGGTTCTTCATCTCCCAAGAAGAGATAGAATGTACCCAAATAATTCTAATATTTTGTTACACTAAAGAAATAATAATAGATTGCACTGAATATAGCAAGTCATATGTTGATCAAAGTAGCATAATTCGTGTCAAAGCGAAAGTTTGTTCTACTTTTAAATTATTGCCGAGTTTTGTCCACATGATAGAATAGATTTGCTATCGGTACTTCTACCGTGAACTACTTTCATTTTTAATTTTGTATACCCTTCCTGTATTTCCACGCTAGAAAAATAAATTTCCTACCCCTTTTTATATTTTCAAGTCAGAACGTCAGAATTTTCAATTTCAACCGAAGATGTGCAGGCCAACTGGAACATAGTCTGGACTTCACGCCGCGGACTTCTTACTCAAAATCAAGCTTATCCCTAGTATAATTTCGATGCCCACGAGTGGTTGCTTCCATATTGAACTTTTCTGTTTTTATAAATTTTTAAGTACCATTGAATTGTAATGGAACGAAAATTCTGCAATGTTGCATTGATAATTTAGATTGACTACATTTTATACGCGTTCCACTTGCTCTGTCAGATATTTGACTAGAGCACAGGCAGCTTGCGTGTTGAGAATTGTAAGTTGCGTTTTTCTTTGTAAATTACGTTGACGTTTTTTTTTTGGCATAAAAGTCGGAGCTAAAAACGATTCCTGGTTATTATTTTTTAATTTTGGGTCTGTGTGCAAAGTTATTGTCTGTATATACATGAATAAAAGAAGGAGAGATGAATTCGTATTTTTTTCTGCATAGCCAGACGGTCTTACCTCGAGATGTTCTCCAACAGTTCTAGGTGTTGGGTTTGTTATTAATGTAACAATTTTACTTATCGCTTACAGTTATATTCATCCATTCCAAATAGCCAAAGTCTCTTTTGCTTGTTGACATATGCGACGGCGAACAGTAACATGTTTATACATTCGGATTAAGAGACGAGTATCGAGGATGTCATATATTTTTCCACACCCAACATTCACAATCACGGACAACATGCAACAAGTGTAAGCATAGACAACGAGCAACATTTGTCAATCCCTTGTACGCGCAATAAAACCTTAATTTTAGTTCGCAAATTATTTCGCATTTAGAAATATTTTTGAAAAGTGAAGATGCTTACTTTTACTGCTCAATGCCATAGTTTTACTGCTCATTTATTAAATTCAAATTATGACTAATTGCTTATACTTTAGGTAATTGGTTAAATCATCTCAATATTTTTTATAAGTAAATTCTTTTTGACCGCAGAATATGTATTGCGGTCCTAGTTTAGCACAACCGTGTATCGAATTCATGTCCTAAAAGTTGGTGGAAATATTCTTTTCTCTCAATTTCAATTACTGGGATACCGCAAATAGTACTTTAAAAATTAATAAAAATCATCGTTTTTTAAACGCCCGGCTCATCAACTAACTTTAATCTTAAAGTTACATTGTTTTTCGATCAGGCTCATCATCCATAAAGCCGTTGTAGTTGCGCTAAAAGCTAATGTGTTTCTCATCCAAGAGAGCGACGTAGTTGCGCTTAAAAGCTAATGTGTTTCTCACTAGATATTTCGACGATGTAGCACTTAAAAGCTAATGAGTTTTACATTAAAGAGAGCGATGAAGTTGCGCTTAGAAGCTAAAGTGTTTCTCTTTAAAGAGAGCGACGCAGTTGCGCTTAAAAGCTAATGTGTTTCTTATAGGCTTCCGATCACTCGCATACACTAACCATGTGCAAATCACTATAAGGATTCGACCATTATCGTCTTAGCGACTAATATGATTTCGTCAGCACCCCCGAGTCGTTGCCGAGTTATAAACAAACTTCTTAATTAAGCCAATCGTTTAAACTTTTAAAGAAATTTAACATCAGATGAAACTTATATGGTTATTATATCTCAGTCTGTATCTTTTACAGATGTCAAATGTAACGACCGTTAAAATCAAACAGTTTGTGCGCCGTCAAATAATTGACTGCGTGACTATTTCTTTCGAAAAGTTGCTGAAACCCGTTATAATTATTTATCGAAACGCACTCCGAATGCGGCTAAAGCTGGATTCACAAATTACGGGTAAGTTAACATTTTGTTCGACGATCCTACAACAATGTACAGTTTTTATGACGATCATACAAGCTTTAAGAGGAACTGAATTAAAGTTTTGGCCTCTCAATGAAGTAGTGACGTTTAAATTTAATTCTATATGGTACCTAAAGGCAGATGTCAACAGAACTAGCCAAACACCAAAATAACCATTTTGTCACGGATTCCAGCAACCATCAAGTTTTAAACATAACCCATGATCGAAGTTGACCATTTTTCATCAATTTTCGAAGAGCATCTAGTCTTGCAGCTTCTCGAGTGCGGCGGTGATATTGACGAGCTCGTGCAGCAGGCCGCCGGCCGCGCGCGTGAGGGCGCGATGGGAGTTGAGGACCTCCACGGAGCAGCTGAAGGGGTCGTAACGCACCTCGTAGGGACGCGTCAGGGTGGCCGCCGCCCACCTCCTGTGTGCGGAAAGCTGACTTGGCAAGATCGCTTCAGGAACGAAATAATTTCAATTACTTTTCTTGAATATAATTAGCAACGTATAAACGAACTTTGAACAGGCAATGAATGTCACAACACATAGTTTCACCTGAATTTAGACTGAGCATCAGTAATAGACTCAGCCACGAAGTAGACATCCTGGTAGTCCTGGTCCTGGTATGGCTGCACCGCCGTCACGCTCGGCTCAAACTCTCGGTGCTCGGGAGCGCTGGAGAGTGCGTGGCTCAGCTCACCGTAACTGCTGAGCAAACCAGCGCCCCACGCACGCAAGTCTTTGCCGTCGTTCTCCCGACACAGACCGAACTCCACCGTGAACCAGTACATCTGTAACAAACCGGAGTCCACCGTGAACCAGTACATCTGTAACTATCTGTAACAAACCGGAGTCCACTGTGAACCAGTACATCTGTAATATACCTGAGTCCACCGTAAACCAGTACATCTGTAACAAACCGGAGTCCACCGTGAACCAGTACATCAGTAATAAACCGGAGTCCACCGTGAACCAGTACATCTGTTACAAACAAAACTAAACCGTGATTCGTGAACAAGTGCATCTGTATGGGTCGAACTCTACCGTGAACAAGTAAATCTGTAAGAGATCACGATGTAACAGCAATACATCTGTTACAGATCGAACTTCACTTCATCGTGAACCAGAATGTCTGTAACAGACCAAACTCCAGTATGAGTCTATGAACTAGTGCATTTATGATAGACTAAGCTCGTTTCGCAAACATATTATCTCAACTGGTACGAATTTTTAAGAAATTGCTTGATTCATTTCTTCATCCATTCAAGATTTTTCTGCATGAATTAAATGTATTATTCAAATATTATTTAATGGTAAAGTAACTGAACTCACTGTAGCAAAAAGCTCTATCTCTTCGTCGGTTGCGCCGAGGGAAGCCAGTCCCAGGTCGTGGGAGAACTGAGCAAACTGAGGGTCGGCCAGCAAGGGAGCGTGGCCGAGCAACTCATGGATCACGTCCCTGACACGAACAAACATTTCGGAATGTTATTAATCGTTGAACATTAACTATAAATCTAGGCTTACATTTACATGGGAGTTGCGAGGTTGTTCAACTTGGAATATTGAATTGGTGTTCCACTCCTTTTCGATACATTGTTCAATATTCGTAACCCTTAATATATATGGGAATAAAGTTATCCAATAGGCATTTGTTTCTGAAGTCAGTAAAAAACAAACGGGAATTTTAATTCTGGATTGATCACGTATACTTTTTAACAGAATACACCCATATAAACATTTATAACTGACGGCTCCGGGCTGTGATGGGGAGACGAGTGATGTCGCACGTATTGCGTGCACTGAAACACACGGAACGCCAGAGACGCAAGGAAGTCTCGGCTTGTCAAGAGACCGGCGGCAGGCCGCAGCGTGAACCCGGTATTTTCTGTCCATGAAAAAAACGAATATAAGACTTAAATTTTACAACACACATATTTTTTACAACACACATATTATTAAATAAAATCATGTTCGTCACAGCTATTAATCCTAGTTGAGCATCGCAAGGTAAGTGATTCATCAGAAGCAATGAGCTCACTCAGTTGACAATAATAATTATCAGGGCTCACTCTGCATGAAGTTAGAAACATCCTGCAGCTGAGGGATTGCGTCAGCCGAGTAGTTACAGTCGCGCTTCAGAATTTCCCAGACAGCCCTGTAACCATCAATATAATGCATTCCGGAGGTATGCACAGAACTGAAGTGATAATACATAGAATGTTCAAGCTGGAGGAATAAAAACTATCACAATCACGCGTTGCAGTTGAAAGGTTGCAATTGCATGTTTCCTGTGAACGAGAGTTTGCTAGGATTTACTGGAATTTCCAAACTCGATATTAAAAACAAAATGAGGAATTCTGATAGCTCATTTTTGAAGTTGGAAGAATTGGTCATATTAACCTGACTATGTATTTATGGATTGTAATATGCCCATAGTACGGCGGTCTGGATATAAGTTCCTGTTCCACGTAAGGTGCTGGGGCACTGCTACGTAAGCTATATAGTACAGTACACAAGCACTAAATACACGAGACGAAGTGAATTGCTTTATGTGTAAGAAGGTTGAAAGCACAAGTGAGTTGAGCTCTCACCCATATAACACGCACAAATAACCCTACGAGCACACTTATGTCCTTCATCGTTAAATCACCCCCATAAATTGTAATGGTCACATTCGTAAATAGGTACCGCTTACAGAGTGCAGAAAAACATCTGCAGCATGTACAATTGTGCATCATAGCCTCACACGTGCTTATATATGCTGGTGACAGACGTGGGTAAAAGCTAGGCATTACTTACAAAATATCGAGTATACCTGTACTGACGACAGGCGTGTGTAGGTATAAGCTTGTCGAGCTCTTTGAACACGACGCTCCAGGTCTTGATCTCCTCCGGCTGGTACTGCACGCGAGGAATCGTCTCGCCGCTGATCAAGGACCACATAGTTCAGATAACCTTCACATCTGTACATGTACAAGATGTGTCTTGCAGAGTAGTCAATCAGTATAACATATATTCCCGTAACCCAGTTGAAATATTTAAGAGGTATTTTTTTATTTGAAACTTGTCTGTCGCTAATCTTTCACTTAGTAGAAGATATTTCTATACTTCGTAAAAGTTATGGAAAATAATTACATGTTAGTTTTGAGTTTAGGAGCGAGCTTGATAGCAATAGAGGTCCTATTGTAGGGAGTTAAATGTTACCATCGAGTATGTCATTTCAACGAAATAACTTTATGGAGGAAAAACTGATTAATGAGAAAATAATTTTAGATAAATTAATTATTTGGTTATTCGATGCGCAATTAATTTATTTACGAACAGCACAGCTTTGCTCACTGTCGGTACGAGAAAGCGATACTGGCGATGGCCTTGCGACGCTCCCGATACACGGGGTCAGAGAAGCCAGGGTGGTCCATGTCCAAGTCTGGCTCGTACTTGGTCATGAGGTGGTTACACTTGTCCAACTCGCTGATGTGCCGAGGGAACCACGAAAAATCTGCACAAACAAAGGAAACGTTCCAAGCGTACGAACGTAAAGTGCATTGATGCGATTCAAACGCACAGCCTCGTACTGAATGAATGCGATTAGTGCTCACTCGACAATATCAAAGATGAGGGTAACAATATGTAATCACAGGAATTTTTTAAAACGTTTGAAATATTATATAGCCTGTGAAATGTTATAGGACAGAAATTTAAATTTAGCCGTTGAGTGACCTCGTTCGTTGGAGTGAAACGTTTTTTCTGGCGGCAGGAGCCTGACGGCGGTGGTGCTTGACCCTTGCCGCAACGCCTTCAGCAACGACAACAAAGGCTCGGCTTCAATGTACACTTTAATCAGCACCTCAAAACTGAGCTGCTTCTTCTCCCTGGCAATGGCAATATCTTGTTCGGTAAAGTCCATGTTCCTCACCAGTCTAGTCTCGACATGGAGCACCAACCCGCTCGTGTTCTGCACATTGAACGTAACTTTTTCGATCATCATGAAAATCCAGAGCTGTCGGTACATTTTTCATTTACTTTTCGCCCGTTACTTGCGATGCGTGCAAAATTATTTTCACTAGTACTAAAATCAGTTTAAATCTGGCGAAAAAATAGCACACACTAGCTCACCTCGAAAGTTTTGAGGATCCTCGATAGGCCCGTGAGGCCCCCAGCTAGAGTGAGCAGCAGAGACGTTACTTGCGCCTGACTCTTCTCTTCTCCTTGACTCAAAGCTTGAGTCAACAGGAGCTCATCGTCCGTCAGTTCTTCTCCTACGACCAAATTAATAAAGAGAGTTACGAACGACTGAAGCTATTAATATATTCCAATCAGTTTCAGATTCAACTTTGTTAACATCAAACGCTTTTTAAAACGTAAAAAATTGAAAAGAGAGTTAAATTGTCAGTTAATACTACTCCTGGATTAGCGTAGACCGTTTTGAAGTCGTGAAATTTCCACTAGCACTTATTCATACAAATCGCACGCACCTCTCGCTGATTTGGAAATAGTGAAATATCGTCAATAGCTCACATATGTCGGCACTGAAGAAATAGGCCCATGGCCTATTGCCGATTCTTGAACTTTTCGTGACTTGATTCACAAGGGATCCGGCCTTTGGAACCCGATCTTTCCATAACTGACGATTGATTGAGATAGCTGCTGGACTTATTGCCTGCTCCGTAATTTGCTAGGCATTTTAAGACTGAACATATGCTCCTGCATAGCTTCGTCTAGTCTGTTTTTGAAGGCGTTCATACTCGGAGCTTCAACGATGCTATCAGGGAGGCTGTTCCACATGTCGGTGACTCGAAGCGAGAAGAAATGTTGTCGCATGGATGTGTAACAACGCAGTTTTTTTAGTTTATAGCTGTGGCCCCTGGTGTTGGTTCTTGTTTCAAATTCTAGTAAGCCTTCTGGAACCTTGTGTAAGCCATGAGTATACTTGTTTGCTTCAATGAGTTCCCCACGCATGCATGCATGAATTATTTTAGCATTGGTTTATAAAAATATTGCAAGGAAAAAATAAGTAATGGAGATTTTTATTACAGTCAGAAAAAAACAAAGCGCAAATTGTGTTTCTTCAACACAATAAGCTCTTTGCCAAAATCAAAGCTAGTCCAGGTCAGTCAACACGTAAATAACTTAACTGTATTCCTGTATTCCAGTATAAAACCTATTTTAGAAATATTGGGAAGAATTTCAATCTGACAATTTTAAGAATTCATTCGACATGGTTCAATTAATTGATTGACATTGAAATACCATGGCGGTCACATTAAAGTGAATTCGGTTCAGACACAGTAATGTTTACGCCTTTGGACGCGAAGAATCCTCACTTGTATAAATCAAATTCAAGGGAAGCTGAACAAACTCTAGTCCTACAAAGTCATTCAAGGTGCGAGTATAAATACTAGCCGCATGAAAATGAATTTTGTCTTCGTTCAGTTTTCAATATTAGTGCGTCTTATTTAATTATGTTATGGATATTAGCATCATATGTCTTTGGCCGGGCCTCACCAGTAGAGGAAGATCGCACTTCTTGCAGCAGGCTCTGCTTCTGGACGCGGTTGAGTGCAGTCTCGAAGCGAGCGTCGTCCACGAGCGAGCGACGGCGAGCCGGGTAGCCGTTCTGCAAATGCGGGATTGATGCGCGTGTTATGAAAACAAATAAAGCATCCATTAAGTTCATTAAAGCATGTAATAAAGCAATTAAGCATGATCGGGTACGGTGAGAGCAACCCGGTGATAACAACTAAACGAACTTTCTTCGACTTGTACAATTCTGGCTTTGAATTCAATGAGAATGACATGTCATTGATTCACGTGCTAGAATTATTTTAATAATTAAATATGTCGTAAAAAATAATTCAATATTTAGTCATATAATTGATGTTATAGGCAAGAGAGAATTTATTGAATTAATTTCGTACTCATCAAGCAAACACTTGCGGAAGAACCCTTAAAGACTTTCAATGAAAATGTCATCGGGAAACTCCACAGCCTTCTGTCGAGATCCTCCTCTACAGAAACATTTTTCCGATCCATGACCAATAATTTTTGGCAATATTATTTCTACTAAAAAATTTCCTTTGGTTGTGAGAATTGCGTGTCAGTATCAACCCATCGACGTCTCTTCGAACTCATCAGGTTCTTCGAAAAATAACTCGCATGCATGAATTATTTTTAGCATTGGTTTATAAAAATATTGCAATGAAAAAATAAGTAGGAGAAATATAACGGCTTTTTTCTTTAACTTTGATATGTTTTACTGTCACATTAGGCCACGTCACAAAATCTTGAGCTATGATTAACTATGGAGTGCTCACAAATGCCAAAAATGGCGGACAATATTAAATAACATCAAATTTCCATGGAAACAATCCTCGACTGATATCTGCGCCCGTCGTCAAATCAATTGTATCGACATAGTAGCAACGTTGCTTAGTTTAACCTTGACATTTTCCAGCAGCGTGAATAATTCGCCTGTTAGGCTTCAACAAAGTAATCCTTTATCAACGTTATGGAATAATACTTCTGTCTCAGGCAGCACTTGCAATGGGCAGCCGTCAACTAACTGGAGAAGGACTAAGAAAATTGCTGGAAGAAATCGTCGATCTAATTTAATACCCTGAGATGTAATTCAGACCAACGACTTGATGTCTACGCTTTCGTCTAGTTGCTCTTTTAGTTGCTAATGTATTTTTTTATACTAAAATTGCAGGTTTGGATGAAGGTTATGGTCAATATATTCTTTATATTTTTAGTAATTTTTTTGCATATTCATAATTAAAGTCATAAAATATTTTAATTGTCATTTTCTATTCAGCAAAGAAAAACGTCCATCACTCTAAAGCTTTGCATTGCACCACCCGAGACGTTATGAGCTATTGAACATGTTTTATTCACTTAGACTTAGAGAGTACGCCCGCACTTCTGAAATCATAACTGCGTCTTTCCTTCGTGATTCGCCCTCCATGTTCCACATTCGTTTCAGTCAATCCATCCCTGACAACGCAAACCTCATAGCAAACTTAGAGAGCGCATTTCAACTCCAATGACAATCGAAAATAACGTAACAAATTAAAATACTACAGTTAAAATCATCTAACTTTAGTGTTCAAAGTTAGGTCCAGCAAAACGCCTGGATGCATGCAAAGGTACAACAATGCGCCTCGTGCGCATTTTGTGGTGCAACAGTGCGCCTAGTTTGCATGTTCGGGTTCAGCAGCGAAATTAGCTTGCATATATATAAGGTTCAGCAAGGTACCTCACTTGCAGGTTCAAATTAAACAAGGCGCCTCTCTTCCATGTTGAAGTTCAAGAAACGTTTTCTTGCATGTTCGGTTCATGAAGGCGCCTCGCTAGCATGTTCAGATGCAGGTAAGCGCATAGCATGTTGAGCCGCAGCCTCAAATTGCCCCACTTAAATCGGCAATTTCATTATATTTACTTATGATGGAAGGCCGAGACCTCCGGGCGCCGCGCATAATGGCTTCGCTCCAGCGACGCACAATGGAGCACTCGATCGAGCAGCTATTTCTAGCCCGCTGCCCTCCCTTCACGAGCCTGGGTGAGGGGAGTCTGTTTCTTTTTTATTATCACACCGTATTTCCGTGGGAAACCACTACCCTCACGTCATAGATAACATTTAAGTTAATTTTGGAAAGATATAATATAATTTATCAGATCTGACTTGTTGAAGAATTCGATTTGGGAATGAAAGATTATTTTCGCGGTTAAATAAGCCTAGAAAAAATATCAATACAAAATTGATATTTTAAACTTTTTTATTTTTTCCATTCTTAACCATTTCTTCATTTATTTAAGGACTTTCCCTCTTTAAGAATTAGAGTTTTTTCTTCACTTATGGTCGACGAATAGTAAATTCCGTAAGTGGGTAATGAGCATCGATTCCTTAAGGTTGATCTGTCTTTTATACATGTTCAATCGTACACTCGTATGTTGGTCTGCCCGAGCTTGTTCAATACAGCTGAAGTGTTCTAACGGCTAAAGTATTCATTCAAAAGAAAGGTTATATTATTATGGTGATTTCAAAGTGAAGAGTTTTTTTCTATTCAGTTTTACATGCTCTGTTCCTAAATTAAACCAACACACTAATGTAATGAGTCGTTCGCTTCATCCATTTTCCCCATTAGGAGACCCGTTAATTCAAATAAAAATCATTAACATATGGCTGTTCTGATTGTTGAAAATGACATACAAACTTGCCTACTACCTTATTCGATTTCGAATTGTATGCAACGAGGAATTGAGAACCTCGATCAATGCCATCCATCCATTCACTTTGGCGGAATAAAGCCAGCGACCGATTCCTGCCGACGACTTTGCTCATCAAGTCTGGGCTCTTAATGGCTAAGCCTTCCTTCGGTCTTAGGTTAATTAGTTTAGGAGCTTTTGTGCTCCAGCACGCGCCAGCCGGATGCCAAAATTAAAAACATTCGACCTCTGGACGAAAATATCTTGCCAGGAATATCGGTGGTAATTGAATAAAATTGTGATACTATTTTAAACTTTCTGAGATTTTGACAATTTTGAACGGAAGTGCAATTCAAAAAGAAGGTCGACGTTTTGTCAACAAAATGAATGAAAAAAAAAATTCTTGTCAGTGACTGATAATTTTATCATTTTCATTTCACTCTCTGAAAAAAATCCTAATTTTTAGTAAATATTTGAAATCATCAATGACGATACTCAACGGACTCAGCTTGAGAAAACTGTATTAAAAAACAATGTTGTAAATTTGAGTTTAATGACCACTATTTAGTTGTGCGCATTTATACATTTCTGTCTGTATAACATGTGAGCTCATAAACTAACATGTTATTCTGGAAAGTGGGTCTAGACCAGGGTCTACCAACAGACCATGGGGAAGAGGTGGAGGGAAGTATGGGGCTTGGTTTAGGAGCGCATGCAATCAGTGAGGACACTGATCCCATGTCCCTAGGGGGATCAGGCGAGTCCCTTCTTATAACGCTCCTCCTCAAGTGAAGCGGAGGGAGGAGGGACTTTAAAATTGGCATTTTAAGGAGTAATATTAGTAATAGTAAGTGGGCTGGTTGATCCTTGAAGATTATCTAACTATAGAAGGGATTACAAAAAATGCAGATTCGTTCATTAGAGTTTGTTTTCATTCAGTAATCGTACTTACGGCGAACTCATGAAAAAAGGACCCTGCAACGAATTTCAGACTAACATAAATTAGCGATCATGTTCTCAAATGCCATCTCACAGTTTTAGAACGTAATAGGTCAATGACTGCAGTTGGCGAGGAATTGGTTTCGCGGAGATAAAATAAACGTTTAAGAGATTATAAATCTGGCAAGCGAATTGAAAATTTGACTCAAGGATTATCATTTGTTGACGATACATCTGACACGTATTGCATGAATAGATAATAATCAAGAGATTTGTCCGAATTTGCTATAGAAAGGCCATGATATGCGTGCTGATTGACGGGCTCGCGTCTCATCAGACCTGGACCAATTTGGGACGTTCAAGGGAGCCAATCAAGCGCGTGTTGCAGCTCACGAATTTCAAGTCCAACTTATTTGCCTGGCAAATTTTCTATTAAGCCATTCGTAAACTACTGGGAAGAATTTTTGGTCATAGTTTATTTTACTTCGAGAACCATCAACTTTTTCTGGGATAAAATTAAAACTGCACGCTTTGAAATGAAATTAAATGCCCTCACTCAGAAAAATGAATTGGTCATATTGTTCAAATAGTGACACAATTTCTGCACCTTTTGTCATGCAAATGTTTTATGTACAGCATGCAGCAGTTATATGTCTTTTCGTCCGGACAAACTGGGTCAGGAAGATTTAAATTTAATTGCACGTTTTGTCAGTAAAACCTGTATATCAACGCATTTATGGGAGTATAATAATAAAATCAATTTTTACAGCAAGATATTCCCCCGCTTTAACATTTATTTGCCGCAATTTGCATTATGTAATTAGTAGATAGCAATGTAATAAATTATGTCATATAATAAACTTATATAATAAGTTTACGGTAAAATATTTTTGCAGGAAACCCAAGATTCTATCACCAGAACAAATTAATATAAATGGACAACCCATATTTTGACCCCGTCCATCTCTCCAATGCCGGGCACAATTTTGTTAGCAATGCTATTTCCCGAAAAGGTAATTGAATTCCCCTGACATTATTTGTTCATCAGCTAAAGTGATATTATCGCAGAGGCGTGGCACCCAAATGAAGTTTTCTTTCCATCTCGATGCATGGAATGGGATAACCCCACTGCGACCCTAAGGATGCCCAGCGGGACTGCAAAGGATACTGTTATATCCAGAGGGATATACCATGATTTAGAGGGATATACTGCGACTTAGGCGCATTTTGGTACCTTGTGCAATAAGGCAGCCAAATGAAGTCTGACAAACTCATAACTGAAGCTATTCTTTATCGCTGGCCTACTAATAAGTCCTAAAAATTTGCAGGATTTATGATAGAGAGCTAAAAATAAATCTATAAAATAGAGCTATAATAATGTGTAAAATACTGAATGAAAAAGCTAATTATTTATTAAGAGAATTTTTAGTTTTTTTGTGGTAGGTAAGAGGAAAATTTGAATTTATTCTTTGCTGCAATTTGGACACGAATTTACAATAATAAATAGTGCCCCGTGACAGTTCAGCAGTGAAGCCGGATGGTTAAGTTCGCGTTTTCGATTTGTGGCTACAATGCGAAAACTTTCGGTTTAAAGTTCCGCTCGAATTTCAACTTTTAACACGTTGACTACGATTGCTTCATCTTGTACTATTATTTCAGTTTTTGTACTTTTTTTAAGCAGGGTTGCCAGACGGTCATTTTTTCCGGACAAATTCCGTGATTTAGTTTTTCTCAATTGCGTTGCCCGGCTAAAATTTATGATAGGGGTACTTCCTAATCAAATTTTAAATACTGCAAACAGAAAATAAATGGAATTTTTATAGCGGAACCTACAAATAAACTAGTATACATTGACTTATCGGCCTTTTTTGGCCTTTTTTGTTCTCGGAATTGGCCAATTTTAGGCAACCTGAATTATGTACCACTACCTCCTGGAGAAATACATTTCGTGGTACGCATATGTACCAATACGTAGTCAACGTGTTAAGGATCGACTTTCCAGGGGCTCAAACGGTTAAAAAAATCGTGCCATAGGTATTTGACATTATGTTGCTCGTAATTGATTAAGAAAAATTACAGACAAATAAATGCAGAACAAAAGTTCTCGCATAAGCTCGGAACGTTAGTATAGATGATTCATTTTTTTATTGCTCAAATTTATACGATTATACGAGTAACCCTAATTACATTCGAGTTACAGTGACTCACCTCGATGCTGTAGGACTTTTTTACAGCAAAGGCTCCTCGGCTCATGTGGGAAGTGGCGGTCTTGTTCATCTTGGCGGACGACGCTTCAATGCCCTCGAAGAGCCCCGTGCAGTTGTAGCCGAAACGGTAGATGGAATACCGTCCAAACTCCAGCGTTACCAGCTGTGTTATGACATGACATGGCGTGTGAAGTCTCTTATAAGTAGTTAGTCTGCGGTGCATGGTTAAGCGCTGTGTTATGGCATGACATGGCGTGTGAAGACACTTATAAGTAGTTAGTCAGTAGTGGTTACCGCTGTGTTGTGACACATGGCATATCAAGACTCTTCTGAGTAATTAGTCAGGAGTGGTTACCCGCAGTTGTGCGATAAGACGTAGCATGCCAATTTCAAATAGGTAATTTGTCAGGGCGTGATTACCAGCAGCGTTGTGACGAGACCTCGACTGTGAAATCTCTCATGAGTAATGATTTTTCATGGGTGCTAATCAGCTCTGTTGTGACGAGACATGGCGTGTCAAGTCGCTTATGGCTAATTAGTCAGGGGTGTGTCCCCGCTGTATAGAAGCGACACACACGCTAGTGGTCTCGTATAAAGTAATTCAACAAGTGACGTGCTGTGTCGTGGCAAGACAGACGCACATGCGTATGATATTGTATCGCCATTCATTGGATAAAACGCTGTACTATTGTAGCGAGTCACACATGCACGCATGTGATCTTGTGTCAAGTCATTCATAGAATAAAACGCTGTACTATTGTAGCGAGTCACACACGCATGTGATCTTGTGTCAAGTCATTCATAGAATAAAACGCTGTATTATTGCAGCGAGACACACACGCGTGTGATCTTGTGTCAAGGCATTCATAGCATCATAGGATAAAACGCAGTCTTATCGTAGCGAGACAGACGCGAGTGGTCTCGTAGAAATTAAGTCATTCTCTTTGTTTTCGTTAACATCTAGTCTGTGAAGTATAAGTCGCATCTCACTTCTCACAGTTTGGTGAAACATTCCAATGATGTTCTATATAAAGTGTATTGTTTTCAGCTATTGTGTGTCCTCTTTTTCTCTTCGGGCTTAAAAGTTATGTAAGCGTCAAAATTTACTGCATGCATGAAGACTTCTAAGTGCGAAATGACTTCTTGGTGTAGGTTTTCTTCAACACAAACAAGCACATGCAGCTGTTTGTTTGATACGTAGATTAATATACAATCATGACCGTACTGTTTCCAGAAATTGTTATGGTTAAAACAACTAAGTTGATTATGTATCGTTTCATTGTTGATAATTTGTTGTGCCGTAAATTGCAAAAATTACGAACAGCACTTAATTTACACAAGCACGTCTTGCTTTTTACTTAGTACATTTTATCAGTAGATTATATACAGTTGCAATATTATTTATGATATCAAATAATTTTTCAAGCAGCAAAAAACATTAAAAACAATTATTTTCATCAATTGAAGGTAAATGTCATTATATTTATTTTGGAGGATATTATTTATTATTAAATATGTTTGCTTTCGACAATACTGCGGTTTCTATTAGTTACTTAAATGTTCATTTTGAATTAGATTTCTCTTTTAAGAACGGGGTGGAACTAACTACACATACAAATACCTAAAAATAAATACTCACATCTTAGCTACTTCTCGTAAATATGTTGCCCAGTAGCTTCCGCTTCGTTATTTATTCTGCAAGAAGACCGGAAGAAGAGAAGTTAACTATCATGACGAAACTTGAGCTTGTTTAATGACGGTTATGGTGGTAATACGGACCCAATTACCATATCGAGGATATCCTAAGACCTTGACAAATAAATAATCTATAATGGATTGAATATTTACCCAAAAACGTTAGGTAATTTTGCTACAAACATATTGACGGAAGTGCGTTAACAAATTATTATCGACGACTTTCGACTTTCGTGAATTTCTCCACTCGAAAGCGTGCTCGTCTTATTTTGTCAGCAAGACTATAGTTATCTGAGAAGATATCAGAGTAGTCTGATGCAAAAGTATCACTCTTTACCTTACGAGGCTCGGTGCGCGCAGCGTCGTTTGTAGGGTAGACGTGGCCCTGCTTTCGCCGGCGCCACTTGTTGCCGTCTGAGGGACACCGGACAATCGAACCCTCGATAGCAGCGTCAGCCCAACCAGTCCAGGGTGGGAGGTGAAACTAAAATTATATTGAAGAGACTCCCACGCAGTGCTCGTTTCGACCGACCACTGAGAAAATTTTCTTCGGCGGTCTGGCTCTGAATAGACGCAGAACTACTTACTTAAGTCGTTTTGAACTTCCCTTGAGAGAGGATTTGACCCTAAAAAGTTGGCTGTTGCAGAGAAAATAACTTAAAGCTTTACGCCGGCTTAGTGAGCTTCAATTTCACCACAAAGTACTTTAATAAGTTCAAAATAAGTTTCAACCACGAGTAAAAGCAGCTTCTCAGGGGCAGTTCTAATGACATTTTTGCAAACAAGATTGATTTAAAATTATATGACAATGATATTTGATCCAGTAAACATAGCATACAAAAGCGTAGCATTCTTATGAGCTACTGCTTACACTTACGTTAACAATCTCGTGAAATTTCGAGTCATCAGTGAATTTACCGTCCCGCATTTTGATTTTGAGGCCACAATCGAGCCTGAAATGTTACGAATTTGGAAGCCGCTTGTGATGCTGGAGACGCTTTAACCTTCCGCAGCGATCAGGGAAAGCACTTGCACTGATCTGCGGCCCATTTTTTGGCCATTTTGTGAAATTCCTCATTTCATGAAATTTCTCCACGGCGGCGCATGCGAGGTCAACGTGCCGCTTTTAGCTCTAGATGCAAGCATTGTAGCATTGCTATAAAAGTGTGAGGCTGTAACACGCTCAAGTCTTTATTTGTTGGTGATCAATTTTTGTTAATAAAGGTAGTAGTTGTACTGCCACATATCTAAATTTAACAAGTGTACGTCAATCTGTTAGAAGCCTTTTGCGTGATTTGGTCTCAGGGAAAGAAATAGGCCGTGTGATACAAAATGAGGAAAGAAGTGGAAAGTTTCTATTTTGAATCGATACGATTTAAAATACGTTACAAGCCTTACATAGATGCGGCTAATCTGCATCATTTGGGCCACGAATTTTCTTCAACGAGATCAATACTTATGCTCGATTCGTGATGTGACACCAGGTGACGAGTGCGACACTTCCTTACGTATTTGACACTTAGCGATTTCCGCGTGATACTGTCTGGCCTGTGCCTGTTGCACTCTCTGACATTTACACGAATTGCTTGCATCTGTTCTGTAAAACGACTAGCCCGTGTGATGCTTGATAATTTGCGCATGTGCATGGCGTTTGATTATGCATGCGCTTTTTGCTTGGAGTCTGAAGGAGCATCTGCTGCTTAATGATTTTTCCGTGTGGAGGTGAATAAGTTTTGTGATGATACAAAAATTGTTAATGAATTTAGCATGTAGTGTTGGAAGACTCGGGCGTGGAGCGCTTGATTATTTGTGCGTGAAGCGTTGAGTAACTTGTCGGCGGCCTGCTGAGCGACTTGCTCAGGTGAAGCAAACGAGAAAATGATGAAAAATCATTAGTTAGAAGCGTAAATAATCTCGAAAACTTCTAATTTATTCTAATTTTAGTGGTACTTATAGCTTGCTAAGATCATAAATACTAGACACAACAGACAACCAAGATCCCAGGCACGCATAAACTGATCGATTTAAATGACTTATTGCAGACTTGCATAATCGGCCACAAATCGCACAAAAAATACCCCAGAAGTAGATATTTTCGACCAACGCTTCTTGGGCATCAATAATAGACGTGTTTTGTCATAGAAAAATGTTAGCAAATATTTAGATAATGAAGAATTGTATTAACTTCATAGATCTAGAGAGGAGTATCCAAAAATTATCGACGTATTCGGCTCCCGGGCCAGATGGGGTCCCTGCAGTGCTACAGAAAAAATGCGTCGGAGCACTATAGGTCCCTCTGACTTTGCTCTGGGAAACATCATTGAGAGAAGGAAATGTTCCAAGAGACCTAATACTAGGGCTAATAACCCCTATCTACAAAAGAGGTGCGACAGACAAACCCCAAAATTATAGGCCGGTTACATTAACATAACACGTAATCAAAGTATTTGAGAAGGTTGATGCCAGAAGGTTGGTGCAGTACATGGAGGAGGCTGACCTTTTCAACAGAAGACAACACGGTTTTGGACGAAATCGTTCCTGCTTGTCTCAGCTACTGGAGCATCACCACCAAGTCCTGGCCATGCTGGAGGAGGGGCCGGGGTGGGCGTGGTGTATTTGGACTTCGCGAAAACGTTTGACAAAGTTGACCATGGAGTGCTCTTCAGAAAATTAAGACTGCTGGGAGTCGGAGGTGAATTTCTGGCATGGATCCACAGCTTCCTAACAGAAAGACTACAAGCTGTCGTTGTAGGAGGCTCGAGATCGAGTGAGGCTAGCTAGGGTGAAGAGTGGAGTACCACAGGAAACGGTACTCTGCCTAATTCTCTTCCTCATTCACATCGCCGACATAGATGTGGCAGAGAACCACACCTCTGCATCGTCATTCGCGGACGACACCAGGATACTAATGACCATAACGGACAGGAGAGACTGTGAGAGGTTGCAAGAAGACCTCGCTGCAATATATGACTGGGCCCAAGTGAACAACATGCAGTTCAACGGAACTAAGTTTGAGGTTTTGAGATACAGAGGGAGCGGAAGATCGGGTATGGAGCACCGCTACCTAGCACCTGACAACTCGGAAATCGAAGAGAAACGAATCGTTCGCGATCTAGGAGTGTTGATGAATACTCAGGTCAATTTTGGTGATCACATAACGGCATTAACCGCAAGAGGTAGGCGACAGATGGGTGGATCTGGCGGACGTTCAAAACAAGAGAAGCGGAACCAATGATCACACTCTTTAGAGCTCTTGTAATACCAATCCTTGAATACTGCTGCCAGCTCTGGACTGCTGCCAGCTCACACTCGGCGCAATACTGCTGCCAGCTCACACTCGGAGCAGTGCGGCAACTGGAAGGTGTCCAGCGAACCTTTACTTCCAGGATCAGTGGGATGGAAGAGTTGAACTACTGGGAGAGGTTAAGGCGCCTGGGTCTGTTCTCACTGCAGAGGAGGCGGGAGAGGTATGTCATTCTGTACACATGAAAGATATTAACCGGAATGGCGCCAAACTTTGAGAGCGAGACCTTCAGGATTGAGACACATCACAACGAAAGAAGGGGGAGACTGTGCAAGGTCCCACCCACTACGTAACAGATCTGCAGTCTGATTTCAAGAAGCAACAACAGCATCGTGCATCAGCTGGCCCAAATGAGGGCAGATGAGCGATAATCAGAGGCGGCGATCCATCGTGGCCTGGGACTGCTACGTCTCAAACAAATACCAAGGTACTAAGGCACTAAGGCTAACTTCATGTCTACGAGGTCGGTATGTAAAAGACAGCATTAGACTGAATCTGTAAATGATGCGTTTCAGTTGCCACATGGAAAATTTGCTGGATTTTGTGGCGTGTGCGGCGTGAGACAAGGTTTGAAAATGTTTCAATTTGACAATACAAAGGCTAACACGAAAGACAACATAGAGTACGATGAGAACGATTAAAATTTAAAGTGATGTACGGAAACATGTCATTTCACAGTTTAAGGTCCTGTGCACAATATTGCATGATACTGTGGTGCGAGTCGCAGGCTCTTTCAAGTTAAAGATTCGCATGCGAAAAGTCATGGGCGATTCAATGCGGTACGAATTTTATAAGCCTCAAAACCATGATGAAACCATCATTTAAAACTAATAATGAAAACACCTTGAAGTAACATGACCGGCAATGATTGAATTCTAAAAAATTAGTTCCCAATTTAAATTAATTTGTTGATGAGGGTATAGACAAGTTTCATTGTGAAATAGTTCCAACACAGACATAGCAAATTGAAAATTAAATTTCAAGCGATTTCCTTTTGCTGTTATCTTGAGAACGTGGTCCGAATTAAGAAGCATAAAATTTGTCTTACTCGTTATGACACAGTTTTGAAATGATCAGGCAACTAAATTACGATTAATTAATTTAGTTTTATTAACCGTTAATTTGTTTAGGATTTAAGAGAAAGATTCCATTTATGTTTTATTGATTGTTATATTGAAAGTTATTGTAAAAAAACAAATGTAGCCTTCACCACATTCATGAACAAAATAAGGAATAATGATGCCAGCTTTACGTAACACAAACATCATGAGTTCAGCACGACATTATGAGTGTTTCCTGTGTATTATTGAAGATTTATTCGCAATATTATTAATGAAGTGTTCAGTGATTAAATTAGGCTGTGTGTAGCTCAAAATAAAAGTGGTCACATCAGTGATGATGCGCTCAGCATATAGCAGGCATGAAAAGCAATAACTAACTTTTTTGCAATGTAAACCAAATGTTTGAATATATTAGAAAAATAAGTAAGTAAATAGTTTTTAACGCAAAGATGTAATGCAGCTCGAGTAAGTGTCCTTTTAGAGGAGTTTCCGGTAAAAATTTCCACGAGATATGACACAATACAATTAAGAATAATTAGGTTGATAACTGTATCGTAGAAAATACTACTCACAATTTTTATTCCGTATGGTATTATGAAAGTATATGTAGAGTAGTATACACTTCTAAAATAAAAATTCCCAATATGATCAGCTTGCTTTCATGACCAAATAGTAGAAAATTTTATCTCATTTCAGGAATGCCATAATTCGAGGCTTACTGAAGTCCCGCATTCCAAAAATTAGTCTCTGAATGAAAAATTCCCTGCGATTTTATCATAAATTGAACGCTTAGAAATAAACTTTACAAATAGTTTCAGCGCTTTATAATGGAGAATAATAGTATGATCAGTGCTAGGGCTGGGAGTCCGGCTGCTCGTTCTCCATGGCGATGTCGCCGACCTTGAGTCCCTCCGCGGTGGTGGAGTCTTCAGTGACGCGGTCGCCCTGCTGCTTCATGCCGCTGCTGGCGCCGGGGCGTCGCTTCTTCTTAGCGTCCGAGGGAGCTGCGTGCAGATGACTTATAAAATTCAACCTATAAATTAGGAAATTCAACCTATAAATTAGGAAATTCAACCTATAAATTAGGAAATTCAACCTATAAATTAGGAAATTCAACCTATAAATTAGGAAACTCAACCTATAAATTAGGAAATTCAACCGATAAATTGTCAAAAAACTAAGATTTGTACCATGAGGCAAGGCATAGAGGTGATTGAAATATGCGGATAATTATATTAGTCGGACTAAATATTACATGGTAATGGAGTGTAATTCTGTTATTTAAACTTGATGTAATAATACGGGTGTGAATACTTTATCCGTTACTCCTTCATCCTTTCAGAATATTATTGAAGGTTATGCATCTTTAAACAAAAAACAAGCACATTTGTTACTATTTCGCAACAGAAAAATATAGATTAATTATTTCAAAATTAATTTGGAGTATTGGTAAATGTAGTGAGAAATTCAAATTCTCTGTATTTAGTTAGCTGGCAGTGTAATGATATCGGAAAGTGAAATTTGTAACAGAAGTTTTCGTGTGAAAGTTTCGCACTCGAGTCGGAGACTCAAAGCTGTGCGGTCTTTCACGCTTTACGACTGAGAAGCGAACCGAATTTAAAATGGATAGCTTATTCAAAAAATTTGTATGCCGCGAAGGAGAAAGAAGAAATTTTGAAAGTGAACACTTGATTTTGCACGAGTTGATTTTAGATGTCACACATGATACATAAATCGTTACGCATACACACAACTCAATTTTTTGCCTTGAATATAAATTTTACATCTGGCAAGTCGTTTCTGACTTAATTACTCAACGTTTGTTTGAGTTGAAGTCCTTGCGCGAGCATCACCTAACCTGGCTGGCACTTCCAGCACCTTCACCTGACCCAATCTATCGTAGCCTGATAAGCGATTAGGTTATCGTTATACGGATCTCACCTGACTCACTCAACCACAACATGACTCACGTCACCCTCACTCACCTGACTCACTCAACCACAACATGACTCACGTCACCCTCACTCACCTGACTCACTCTACCACAACATGACTCACGTTTAGGATTGACACACATGTAGCCGCACTGGCCGACCATGCAGCAGAGTGTGGTGCCGGGGCAGTGGGCGTCCCGCGTACACTGGTCCATACGCACGGCGCAGCTGATACCGTAGCTCTGAATGCCACCGCACGCCCCAGCTTTGCCTGCGATGAACATTTATATTTTGTTCAGCCGGTCATGAAGCTTTTTTTATGCTATGAGCATCAGTTTTTAACAGTATATAAATAATTTATTAAGGTACTGCGTGTGAAAATGTTTCGAAATTACTCTGAATCTGATGCTCAAGTTATTTGACACGTACGAGGCATATAGTAGGTATTCAATAATTGTTGTAAGACTTCGTGGAAATTCTAAGCTCTATCTCGTATAATGACTTGTCCATTTCGAGAAACGAAATGGACAAGCTACATTCTAAAATGTAGCTTGTTTATCCTTATTTATGTTCAATATGAGGAATGTTTTTTCATGTAAATATGAATTCTTCCTAAATAAAAATCGTGCGCTAATTTCAACGATGCTTCCAAAACTCACTTGTTGCTTCAGGAGTCTGTTTAGTGGACGCGACGACAGTTGCCTCAGTTGGGTAAGAAACCCATCCTTCTAAAGACTGAGGTGTAGTGGCCGCCACGGACGGTCTTTGAGTTTTACGCTTCAATGTGGGTTTTGGTTTAGGAGTGACTGTGTCCGGATTGTCCACTTTTGCAGGAACTTCAGGATTAGGTCCTCTTCTGGAAATGTATTTGCGTATCGGCGATGAAGCAGAAGCGCGCATTGAGGACGCTTCATCCTCCAATTGTATAAATGAATATGGATTTTCGGGTCTTGATGGCCTGAAAAAGGGAAGATGATGTTCCCTGTCAGGCGATCTTTTCCTAACAGCTGACTTATCGAGTTGGGAATTTTGGGCCCCGTTGCTGGATGGCTGATATAACTGGCTGTTGACGAAACATGCCTGGAGAACGAGACTTCGGTGAGCAATATTTTGGAATAAGCAATTTTTGAGAAGATTTTAGCCGAGGAACATTTTAGTAACGTGTTGAATATCAAATCGATTGGAATGTTCCCTGGATCCGATAAATTTTATTTTGATTCAGTTTTAGTTTTTTATGGGTCTGTGAGACATTATCGCATTCAAAACCTAAAATTCGTTAAAATTTTAGTCTATTTAGGAGTAAAATTCAGTATGCTAGCATAAAATAAGGTTTCACTTTTTTCGACATCCCAATAGACGGTTTATTAGGAGTTCTTTGTTAAATGAGACTTTAAACATATCGTTCTATAAGTACGAAATCCATCGTAAATCATTTTGATGGCTTGAAAATTATTGATTAACAGATTATCAAACCTGAGTAACGCCGAGCAACGAGGTCACCTGTTGCTAATTTATATTAATCGAAGACAATCGCGCACATAATATTTCTGTATGGACGCCATATCTGTCACTTATTATTTAAGAATACTTATACACAAGAGTTATATATGATTCATGCTCTGATGGAAAATTTAATTACTAATACTTGCTACTTCTGTATCAGTTCAAAGCAAAGTGATGGTTCTAAGCGGGAAGGAAGTGACGGTACAGTTCAGAATAGTTCGGCTGCAGCGGACACGACAAGACTGTTGATTACTCTCCTTTCATCTTGTTTACACATGCCAATCAATCTTTCTTCATTCAGAAAGATTGACGCGTATAGAATCAATGAAAGAATATGAATCTCATGCATTTCAGTGCGTTTTGATTGACTGAAAAATTTTGTATAGTGTTGTTTTATGCTTAACAGAAGACGTAATTATCAACCATAAACATTACTGTTAGAGGAAATGCGAGTACGCAGTTATCCAATTCTCAGTTAACAGCTCGGTATCATGAAAGGTGATATATTCGGAAATGACGTAATTGATAAATACACCTACATGCCTTTGAGCTCACAAACATTAAGCTTGCACTTCCTTGTAATAAGTATAGCTAAATATCGTATGTGGCTTTTTTAATTCCGTCGTTGAATTGATCGAAGTGAAAGTGAAGTAACGGTTGTGAACGCCGACCATGCAGAGACCGGCACGCTCTCATGAGGAAAATATTTATCGAGTTCAGCGTTACATGGACCGATGCTTCTATAGCGCAGTAAACAACACCTGGTTGTAAAGTTATGTTATGTTTGCATTTGATTTCGCCAAATGAATTTCCTTTGAAGCATTAAGCAGGTTAAATGTTTACTTACTTTCTCTCATCTTAGCAAGGAGCACAGATACCAAAGCATTTTGACTTTGATATTAATGTTTCATATTATGTGACTTTGGTAAAAACAGATTCATGATATTGAGTGCAGCATCTTAGCTCCCAAGTCATCAAATAATAAAAATTTCATTTCGAACGCATGCACAAGGGATACATTTATATACAGTCATTTTCTAGAGGAGCAAGTCCGCTCCTTGCACAAGTAATAAACAGTCGAATCACTCGAATGATGAATGAGACGCACTTTGACAAATCAGCTATAAAAGACCTAAGAAAAGTACTCTGACACTCAAATACATACTGGAACATTTATTATCACGCTGAGATATGAAGTACTTTGGTCACAAACCTGTGCGAAGAGTGTGTAGTAGAGAGCTGTAGGAGCTTTCATATCGAGAGACCTGAGGGCAAGAGAGAGCACCATGACAATTTGCAATAAATGCCAACCATGATTTTACAACAAGTCCTACTTGGAGCTGAAAAAGGTGCAGTTAGTCAATTTGAAAATATTGCTATTAGTCAGATAATGAAACAACGTTCAGAATAAAACTACTTAGTCATTTATGTCTCTATGATGCCAAAGTGTAGCGTACATAATTGCAGGTGAGTATTCAAATCACTTCAATAATTGACTCTCTAATGGAGAAGCGCTCATCAAATCTCCGGGAAGCTGCACGCAGTTCTTTTAAAAGACAAAGTTGCGGGTGTTTTTCTTCCTCGCTCTTAATTGCCAACCGCAATAGCTATCCAAAATTATCTTTAACACCACCGGGACAATCGAAAAGTTTCTCTCTATGCATTTGAGCGCACCAGCAGGCAAATGTGGGCCACTTATGCTCCCACGACCTCGTTTGTGTCGTCAACACCTGAACTATGTGTGCAGGAAGCCGTGTTGAGATTTCGTGCTTACAGTGAGGCATAGAAGAAAGTTCAGCTGAACCAGAAACTGACATTCAAATCCGATTTCAGCACGAATTTATCACTTTAGTTGTTTTAATATTATAAAAACCTAAACGCGTGGGTGTTTCGCATAACACCGCTAGCTCGCAAATGAATATGCACTCTCCGAACGTATTCAGTGAGTCTCGCGTTGATCACAAATGAATATATATAGGCTCGACGAACGTATCCAGTGAAGCTCGTATCGGGAGGAAAGAACACGAGGTGTGCTTGTGACGCACTAAATTTGTCAGTCTCTCTGTACCGGATTGAGGTGCATTCCAAATCTTCCGAAGGAAATGCTTAATTAAAACGTAAGATCTTTCAGTTTCTACGTCCCGAATCCATCGTTTTACTGTGAATACATGCAAACTCAAAGAGCCATAAAGTAAAATAATAATAATTAATCACAAACCTCGGAAATTCTGGTTTCCTTCAAATATTTTATCCTTGCGCAGAAACTGTTGCTAGATTGCAAGCGTACAGCGCAAATAGAACCGTCAATGACTGCATGTGCGCCACTACCACTCCCTTTCTCTCGCACCTGCAGACTGACTGCAGCGTCTACACTCTACACTCTGAAGTTACTGCGGTTAGTCAACTGTCTCCTTCATCACCTACTCACCCAGGATGATGATGTTCAGCACACTTGTTTATCAGGGTGTGACTAAGCCCTCACGATAGAACCCAATTACACAACGTTAGTATATGTCTTTTCGAGGAAGGCAGATTTATTGGAAATGATTCATTTCCAATAAATTATTGGATTATGTCCATGTCAAAGTTCATATTGTATATAGTACTAAAAAATGGTATTATTCAGATGAATTGACACACGCTTAAACGTTTATTCTTCCAAGTCCCCTGTCGAGTCAGGAGAAATGCCGATTTGATGCGAGTTAGTCTCGTTTCAGGAGTTTGAAAAATTGAATGCTTGCCGCTGTGTTAAGTTAGAATGTAATCAAATTACATATAAAAAAATGTATTATTATGTATAGGTGATTTGCTGAAAATGACCTGAATTAATTTATTTCTAGGATATTATGACGATTGAGATCATGGAATAGCGACTCTTAATGAAACTTTAGTCTACCATGATCAGTTTTCTTAATTCTTGTTAGAAAAAACATTTATGGCATCACTGAATCCGTAAACTAGATTCAGATGATTTGTAAAATATTCCATTACAGTCGATCTATATTTCAGAAATATAGCTTTACTCGTTAGCAACAAAGAAAATAATTGCGAAAGTATTATGATTGCTATTCAAAAAGGCTGGCTCGCCACAGAATTTAACTATAATACGGATGAATATAGAAACAAATTAGATCAGTACCCACTGCAGTCAGTGCAGTGGGTGGCAGAGAGCGCATTTTCTCAGTCACAGACGGACGGACGAACGGACATACATGACGAGCACAATAGCGCCTTTTTTTCATAAATGAGAAAATGCGCTGAAAAGAATCATCGCGTGCATCACTACCGGTCACGGCCAACTTGTCAAGCTGCCAAGTGCCAATACCAAGTAACTATAACTTGATTTAAGTCATAACTCGTTTGAGCATGCTCATCCATCGTTTTAAAATTGCTCTGAGTGGAGTAAAATTTTATTCAAAGTAATTTTGAATTTAACATTCTCAGCAACAATTTTTCTTTTAACTGTTCGCTGCAGAAACGTGCGTTCCGATCTCATTTATTTACAAATTAGGAAATGCAATGCACTACGAATGTTCTATAGCTTGGATTTTAATTATATCATTTAATTTAATAGTTAGAATAGGAGATGAAATCAAATGTTTTCTTTCTTCATTTAATAACCGACAAAGTGGTGAACAAAAATGACCTCAGAGGAACCTATAGATTGCTGATTTGCGTATTTAGATGATGAAAGGATCACTAGAACCGCAATAATGATTGCTGTCGAGTTCGCAGCCCTGTTTTTTTTTCAACAATAGTCCATACCATATAAGCGTTTCATCAATTCCTTCATAAACAGTGCAATGGCCTTTCTCGGACTGATGTGTAGATCATTGTGGCGACTGCAAGATTTCATGAGCGTAAACGTACATTTCGTGAACATCGATGTACGAGTACAACAGTTAGCCCGTTCCTTGGCTTTGGACGCGATTTGAACCTCGACTTTCAGTAACGTGATGCTCTATTGTCTGAACAAGTTCAATCGTCACAAATTCTAAGCGCGTCTGCATACTTGCTACGACAGGAGACCCACGCAGCAGTCGCTCTCGCTTCGGTATAGCGTGGTTTTCGAATAATTTGACGCCCTTTACTACTTATAATCGCATGCGACACCCAATCTGCTAATATTGTTGACTGAAAGTCATGGTTGCTGAGACATTTTCCTGCTAATTTTTTACAAAAGGATTTCGGTATAAACCAACTTAAAAGTTTTTAGGTTAACCGTTTCAGGTGTAAATGGATGATTGTTTCATTCAAATATCTCCGTATTTTTATTGTTTATTTTTGCATATAAATATTTTAAATAAGGAATTTTTTGACACCTCTCAATGCCTTGACAAAATTTTGCCAAGGATATTAATAAGTTCTAGGTAATAAAATATTTCAGTTGTTTCAATTGTTATTATTTTTAAAAGCATTATTATTTATTTTTCAAAAATATCGACATTTGCGTGAACCATTTAATTCAAATACGTGCTGATCTTCTCCAGATTTTCATTATTGTTTATTTGCATGATAGGGCATTTTTCCTTGCTTATTTAAAAAGCTCAGCACAGGAAATAAATAATCTCGAATTTTTATACAGGGATGAGAAGGTTTGAGATTTTCTTTACAATGCAACATCTTGAAGCTATTTTATTAATAATTCTACCTAATTTTTCGTAAAGACACAGTGATCGACTAAGATTTGAAGCTAGAAGAGCACCCAGAGTTGCTCGCTGCTGAAGATGTGCCACCTTTGTAAGCATAAACAAACTACCAACAAGAACTCCCAATTCCAAACTCACGTGGCTCTTCAATCTATTGTATTGCCCCCTCTGGAGCAATGCTCATTGCTGAAGTACACCCACTCCTTAGAAAACAAAGCTCCTTTAAATTCTCCGGTCGACCTTCGACTTAATTCTGCTTCATCCAAGTGACGTGTGTCCTTTGTTGCGCGTCCACGTCGTTTGCAGAACAGTAACATACGGCGAAAGCTGTGTATTGCTATCCCGTGACTGACGAGAAACATTGTATTTTTTTTGGTAGGCTTTCTCCTACATTTTTTCTTCAAAAAGTATTACGTTTTTCCACTTACTAATACCGAGAGCTGCATATGTTCCGTATAATACATTGCGATAAGATTTTTTTAACTGTACTAGGGCCACCCGTACAACCCGTTTCAAAAATTGGGTGTTAGGATAGAGAGTCAGGATAAAGGTTTTCGATCTACTCGGTAAATTTTCTTTAAAAAGTTAAAAAATGTCACATTGACGACTATCTAAATGCAAAAACGCATCATATTAACGCCTGTTCTCAAGCAACCACTTCAACAACTAGATGATTTTATTATAAGTAAAAAAGAGCATGTTTACACTAGTTTTAAGGTACAGTAGGACCAGAGTTGGGCCGCCACAAATAATAATTTAAGAAATTGGCACCGCATACCTCAAATTCCTCAACTTGAAGAAATCAAAGGACTTTTCATTTCCTTAACGAGTTGCCGCGCCCGCATAAACAAAAGACCTGTGTGGCGAGCATTGAAGCGAAGTCGACCCAGGTGCTATAGGTGCCTCTTACATTGAAGTTATTCGGCAATACGCATGACGGTATTTCAGAAAGTCAGAGCAGCGTGTAAATCCCATTGTTGTTTGTAATGGAGCCTAGAATGGTGTCAGGTGAACCAGACAGCCTCTGCCCCACAATGACAGCCATCCAAATGACGGCTCTCATTAGCATATAGATCGAGCCATTGGATAGTTGCTGAAAAGCCAACTGGGCTGCCTGCTCCACTAGCTCCATGTATGTTATGGGTAGTCTGTTAGGAATTATGATGAACATTATAATATTTGAAAATAATTTGAGTATAATTAGAATTTAATGCTTATTGCTTATTTTGCATTCGCTCATGACTGAAATAGAGATACCATATCCTTATCGTACTGCAATCGCTGCAGCTAATCCAATATTAACTGGAAAGTTGCAATCAACCTGGTTAAAACGCGCTCAGGGAGTGAAAATTGTATCAAAATATTTACAATGAGCTAGTCAAAGCGTTTGCTTTATTGCTAGGAATCATAAACAAATTTAGAAATAATTATTCATCCAAGCAAGATGGTGGATAGAGGAATAATTCATTCAATCGCATCATCAAGGAAGATGGTGTACGATGACGTCTAAAATTGTGAATATCTGCTTCAGATAAAATTATTGAGTAAAAAAATGAAAGGTCCAATGGTGAATAGTGAAAGAGTATTTTTCTGAGCATTTGTAATTTAATAGTTCGGTTGAGTAAAACATCAGCTTTAAATTTAAATATATAGAATTTTTAGTTACCCGAAACGGCGTGGCAGAAACTGAACTTATGAAGAGTCGCCTAAACTTCAAGTTTTTATTGAATGGCAGAACAGCGGGGATGATTTTACTTCACTGCGAACATCGTCCCCAAACAAACCATTTGGAAGAATCACTCAAACAAGGCCGGGCAGCGCCATTACTAAGCCAACTTTACCGGCATGAAATTAAAACCAAGCTCTTAAAATTTTTATGACAGGATAAAACGGAGGCTGTGTGCTGCAGTATTATATTTATAGAATATAAATTAATAGTATAAATAGCCGGGATAAAGCATAAACGATTGGTTAAATTTTTTTTCTTAATCTATAAAATCAATGTAATAAAGCGAATATGTTTATAGAATGTCCCTCTTGCCAAATTAGTGTTGTTTATGTATTATTACATTTGCATTTGTATGGGAATAATTATTCGCGTATTTTCCTTTTTGCTCGGAAACTTATCCTCTGAACGAAAGCATAACACTGAATTGTTCTTCTCAGAAATTTTTACTTCAGATTTGATTCAGGACTTGAGAATTTGAGGCTGTAGAAAATTGACGATTATTTGGAAGAACACCTAGTATTAAAAACAAATGCTTAAATATATATCAGAATGAAGATTTCCACAGGATTTTTGAAAGCCTTATCTTCAGACGACACCTCGAGGCAAAGCCCTTAACAGGGGGTGAAGCTCGACTAAGAGGTAGTCTTGTTGACCTGGAAGAACCGCGAGTTAACGAGGCCGTAGAGCTGCGGCGCGAACTCGCATGGGATCGCCTCACGCTGGAAGGCGCAAACCAGCGAAGCCTGGTCGAACATCAAGTGTTTGTTGCAGAAGAAACTGAAGTCGTAGGTTACGTTAGGGATAGACGGTTCGTTTGGAAACACTCCCCTCAATGGATAGCAGACGTGGAATATCTTGCAATTGTTCAGTGTATCAGCGTAATATCCATATGGCTGGAAAATGCAAAACATTATTATTACAATGAGGAAGTGATACTATCATCGTGGTTAATTTTTCCAACTATTCCTCAGGAAATTAAATTTGAGCTGAGAATTTTTCTTTCTCGTTGTCTACAAGATTTTTTATCCCTCTAAAAGATCTTCCATGAGCATTAAACAGGTTAGACTTCGATTGGCAGCTTGTCAATTTCTCTCCATGAATGTAACTGTTTTTAGTTCCGATGTATAATGATAAACAGTACAAATATACCTAATCAGTTGGAAAACGTCGGGATATCACTTAATCTGAGCAGAGAAGGCTAACACCACTTAAAGGTCGAAGGGTTAAGTCCCTTAAGATTTTTCATCATTTTTAAGTAGTAATGACTGATTGTATGAATATTTACTTAATCTTATTTCAGGTCACATTACTTTGAATTTGTTGATATTTTTCGTAAAAAGAAATAATAATAATTCTAGCAAATGAATATTAAATTATTTATGGAGCTTATGATTACATTAAGGGTCTGAAGTCCCTCTAAAGAAGGCCTAATGTAATGCTGCAACTGCCGAGCAGGCTTCCATAAGAGAGAAGTAGATATGTGCAAAGTTGCACACCATTAAATTCTTTTATACCTACATACTAACCCTTCCCGCGCAAGAAAATCCATCGACAATGTCGGGAATGACAGCCGAAGCGTTCGAGGCGAGTTTGTTGACCAGACGTCGCCGGCTCCTCCGTGTCGAGGGCTGCACGTTTACCAGCTCCGCATTACCGGGTTTGACCGTCGACAAAACTGAGTCAACTACAGATTGCTCGTTGAAAAAATCGTGCTTGTCGTTATTATCATATCTTTCGAGGTCTTGAGGCCGGTGTACTTGGTTCGGATATTCATTTTTGTACAGATGGTTGTTTCGCTGCTTTATTGGAACGCGTTGTCGTGTCTGGAAGTCGGGCACCTCTGGAGCCGTGTCACCTGGCTGCCTTCGGTTCGCGGAGCCGCTGCCGTAAGGATCTCCATAGTCAAACCCTCGCCTTCCCTGACTTGGATGCGCTTCTGTCGCTTCTCTTGTTCTCGCGCGGCTCTCGACGAGGCACGCTGCCACTGTTAACAATTATTATTGATTATCCTTAAACAAAATTCAGATTAAACTTTTATTTGAATTCATTCCCTGTTTCCAATAGAACTTCATCCATTAAGTTACTTACCGAGGAGCATATTAATGACAACTAAGATTATTGAGTTCATTTTGAACTCTGAAGTGGTTTTTTAAAAATATTCAGTCAAGAGAAGTTAACATATACGAGTAGTTTTATTCAATTACAATAAAAACGCCATGCACGAAACAAACTATGGGCCCTTCGAATATATGTCTTCTATATTGAATGAATTATTTTTATGAATACTTTTTACGACAAGTAAATCTGAACGTCCTGGAAGAATAGGATTACAAAGTTCCTTTATCAGCATTTATCACACATTTTACAGAGATGGTGCATGCAGGGTTATATTACGAATCTCAGGCAAGCACTGATGGTTTTTTGTTCCGAAGCTTCTTTTTATACACTTCTTTGTCTTGGGTATTTTCGCTCCACAAAATATCTTTCCGAGCAAGCTGTACCTCACGTAACAGGCGTTCTGAAACTGTCTACACGATAGAGGGGCGAATTCCTGCAAGTCTCATGCATGGATAACGCACCTTCGAGGAGGTCAAGAACACAGGCGCAATTCTGCCACTGGAATAGTTAAGAGATAGACGCGAGGCGAGAGCGATTCCGGACCGTTATCGTGAACCCTAAAGAATTGCAATGAATTAATCCGAAAAGAAAATTATTTGTTTGAAGATTTATGAAGTTGGATAAATTTTTAATTTTACTAAATAATTTAATTTTTGAGAAAGTATTATCAGGCTGGATGCAATATAAACAACGATTTATAGCAATCTATTTGCTGGTTAATAACTACATTTCGCAGTAATAAACCACAGCGACTGTTGTATGTGATTTTTTAATAATTTATTAGGCACAAGCTTTATGTGCTTTTAAGAACAGCGAAAGGTTAGCTTTGATGCCGTCAAGCGTGAAAAAGAAAAATCAATTTATTACGAGTGTGCCAAGTTTGAGATCAGATCCTCGAAACAGCTTCGAGTCCTGACAAGCGACCAATCTTGGCTCCCTTCGGGCTCCTAGCTTCTCCCATACTCCATTGAATATCCAAGAAATGGCTTTGTACAGGTAACGGTTTGCCCGCACTGATGCGGCATCATTGTCCAATAAAACTTTATTCTGGATATTGAACCTAACTTTATTCCCTAATTGGTCTCGGATTCCACAGATAGATCACACACTGCAAACGACTGTTGTGATGTTATGAGTTCGGAAGATATATCACAACTGATCATAGCAGAGAAAAAAAAATAAAAAACTCTTTATCAATGATGTTTATTTTTTGCTTAACACATGAAAAACTCATGGAATGATAGTTCGAATAAAAAACTCGAACTTTTATCCTATTATTCTACAATTAGTCAATCAGCACTCATTCTAGGTTCGGTATTCTGTTTCTGTTAAAATATTGCGCAAAATAGCTATGACCAAAAACTATATTCTATACACTATGGAATTATGCACCAAATGCTTGAGCGTAACTGCTAAGCTCCCATGAATATGTATGAATTTATGATGCTGCAGGATTTTTTCATGAACGGTTCCAAGTACGAGACCGATCACGTATATATTGAGCGGCTTTGCAGTGGGGATGCTTGGCGCAGTTGTATAGGGCGAGCGCAAGCTTTAATCTCTTGCTTAATGCGGCTCTGAGATCGCCCCGTCCAGCAGAACGCTTCTTCGCACGATGTCTCTAGCTGCACTAATAAATTCAGTCTTAATTTATCGGAGGGTATTACAGGGACATATTATCTTGAATATTTTAGTCGATGAGCGATGGAATTTCTGAGTACCACAGATGCGTAATTCATTCTAAGGGCTCCCTGTAAATTTTTCCCATTTTACGTATGAAACAAAAACTATGAGCTGTGTTATTAAGAAAATTTTTGGAATTAAGTTTTTCATTTAATTTTCGTAATAAGTTCTTATCGGAAATTTGTCTGCTGAAGTTAACATTAGTTACCAGCTTTTCTGGTATGAACAGCATTGATGACGGTTAATGCATCCATACACAGAATTAGATAATTCAGTCGTTCGTCTACATTTTATGCGGTTATTCCCAGAAATAAGGTAAAACAAGCATGAATACTGGATTCACTCTACACACATTCGTACAAAATACGCACGTAAACTTTTCAAAAAATATAACTCAGTACTCACTGCAGTGAGTGACAGAGAGCACATTTTCTCGTCGACGAAAACTTGAGGTCACGGACAGACGGACAGAACAGACGGACATGGCGAGCACAATAGTGCATTTTTTCCATAAATGAGAAAATGCGCTAAAAAGAATCTCAACCACTTCGGAAGGTAAAGAATTCATAAAACCCTAGTCGTGACCGCAGATTGCGAGTGCACGGTCTTTAAAATACGAAGCACGGCTATTATTGCACATGTATGTCATCAACGCTCGATGCGACGGAAACAGAATCCTGTTCGTCGTCGATGCAGATAGATGAGATGATAGTTCTCCTTGGAACGCAAAAATTTCACTCTAGAATTTATGGAAATTGGGAAGAAGTGCTCCGGCAAGTTGCCTACCTAGGATGGCCCAGATAAATCGAATCAAGCGAGAGCTGCCGAGATGAAAGGCCCTCCAAGCATGATAGATTTCTCACCTACGCATGCGAACGCCGCTGCGATATTGAGCCCACCGTGTTCCGATGACGAGCGCCAAAGCAGTGCTGGGTAAAGGCTTACCTGGCTGCGACTAAGGACACTCTGCGTCTCAAAGACCTCTGGTTTAAGATCTGTGGTAAATATCTGAACTTAAGCTAAATAATTCAAATATCCAGTAACGTGTTTTTTATGAAATAGTTCCGTTCATTTGAAGAGTTCAAGTTTAAAAAATACTTGTCCAGCGTACAATGTTCAATTTTTAAAATGAAGAAATATGACTCAGTTAACGAAGACACAAAAGGACACAAAAATTATGATGTAATATGCATCTGAGTGGACATTGACATGAACGGCCAAACTGCTCGTGAAAAATCTATTTACTTCATAGATTTATGTAAATCGTGTGCCGAGCTGCAGATCTACGGAATCTAACTTACGGAAGTTCACGATTGAGAAATTTTTCAAGTTACGGTACGTAAGGAAATTTCAGATGTACATGATTTCAGAGTCTGCTCCTACAGTTTACCAGCGTTAATTAATGATCAAATGGAAACACGTGGCCGAAAATGATACTGCGGACATGATATAAAAATTTCGATTTGCCTTATCTTTCTCATTCAACTGGTGCATATATATACGAGTAATTGCGATTGATGTAGAATATTTTGCTATTTTGTTATAAATCATGTACAGTTACTAATTATTCAACAGAATATTCTTTGGGAATTATCACATTCTAATATCACATATAATGCGTCTAATGAGAGTCGAAGTTTCCTTATATGATCAAGAGAATCATTTTGCTGTTGGAAAATTGAAAGGTTCGGCTAAAATTAAGTAATGATAGAAAAATGTAAACATTTTTTAATGTCATTCACTTTGTATCTTAAATAGATGCGCATAACACAGTGCCTTATTAAACCTAATTAGGAAACCATTAGTGAATAGGTATCAATGTATCAAATCTCCATTTTTCCACCTAGAAGTACACGATATCATTTAGAAAAAATGGTAAAAAGAAGAAATACTTCTTCATTCATTGCACACATAAACGCTATAATTGTTCCGGAGCCGAAGCAAACGGCGCAGGAAAGTGCTGGCTGGTGCAGAGTGTTATTGATGTATTTGCTGCTTCGTTGTGAGCAAGCAACGTCGTCTCACATGGCGACATTAGCATGCATTATATGCCACATCGGAGAGCCACCGCGGGCCGTGAGATTTACTGGCAAACATAAAGCGATCGTTTTTTTTTGTGATGGTCCTCGCTAGCTTGGTTCTGCCTCCAATTGATTGGCGTTTTTTTTTTGTTCTTTTTGTTGCTCGTTTTAACAAGATTTATGACGGTTTTTGTGGGTGACACTTTGAAAGTCAAATGAATTTTAATTTTTTTTATTCTATCGCTGAGTGACTTTCAAAAGCAGGTTTTAGCTGAAATTTACTGTCTCATTTTAATATGATGAATTATAAACATGGAGAATTGAGCAGTAAAATTGATTTGTTATTTGATTTGCACGATGCCTCATTAATTGACCATTTCGATCATTTTTTTTAAATAACAACAATTCATCCGTATCGAAGATTCTGAGTGAACAAAAAGGGACGGAACTTTATATTCTAAGTGCAGCAACTGCCTTTATATCACGAGAATAAACTGAAATGAACGCTAAAAAATTAATTCTATTTGTTCCAGTGCACAATTTCTCCCCAGACTACATGAGCCGATTATTAACAACGAAGCCCTGAGCCTGCACGGTGAGCATCTGTGATGGAATTTGAAAGGGGCTTGGAGCATCTGCCTGCCTCACGCATATCAGCCTCTGCCTGCCTCACGCATATCAGCATCTGCCTGCCTCACGCATATCAGCCTCTGCCTGCCTCACGCATCTCATGATCTCCCGGCCTCACGCATATCAGCCTCTGCCTGCCTCACGCATCTCATGATCTCCCGGCCTCACGCATATCAGCCTCTGCCTGCCTCACGCATCTCATGATCTCCCGGCCTCACGCATATCAGCCTCTGCCTGCCTCACGCATCTCATGATCTCCCGGCCTCACGCATATCAGCCTCTGCCTGCCTCACGCATCTCATGATCTCCCGGCCTCACGCATACCAAAATCTAACTGCCTCGCGCATCTAAGCATCTTCCTGTCTCACGCATTTCAACATCTGCCGGCTTCACGCATCGCAACATGTGCCTGACTCACGCATCACAGCATCTGCCTGCCTCATGCATCTCAGCATCTTTCATCTGCATGCCTCACGCATCTCAACATCCTCTTGCCTCACGCCTTGCAACAAAAAGTAAGAGAAACTTGCGGGCTCACGGAAGATGACATGTGGTCTTGAGTGAGGCAGAGTCGGCCTTGTGAGAGCACAAACAAATTTCCTTAATGGACTCGACATAATCAGAGGCTCTGGGCAGACGAGGCTGGCAAAGAGGGAGATCACATCGCGGCAACTGAGTTGCTTTGTTTCGGGTGCAGCGAGGTAGCAAAGCCCCTCAGTTCCATGCGTTGTTGCTTGATGCTAGGAGCATTTTCATGAGAGTCCAATTCTTCATTATTAGGTCTCTTCCCCATGCAAGACTTGATGCTTAATATAAATAATATTAGTCGTTGGAAACCTATTTCGAATGGGCTTGCCTAAACCGACGTTTTTATAACTTTTCTTTTTGATCGAGGACTTTACTCAATTGACTGAGTCATGGATAGAAAAATAATCTTACTCTAATAATCATACTAGCCTTGCTTGTTTTGAATATTGAACGCAGTTTAATCAGCAAATTTAAGTGGGGGTTAGTATATATATATTTTTAATTTGATTATCGATGTTGATTGCAAGTGTCAGGGACAGCAACTATTTGCATCAGCCATTGATCTCCAGGAACTTATCTTCTACAACAACAAATTTCAGTGCTCGATGGAGAACACGTTTCTTTGATTTATTGTCACGAGTGTGGAATGAAATGAGGCGACCAAATGATACTATTAACCTACAAATTCTGTGAGATGAAAGGATGATAAAGTTTTACACAAGTTTCGCGGTCTCATTTCATCAGAAGAAAGTTTACCACCGCGGCAAAATATAAGGCCGCCGTGAACAAAAGTTGGTGTGTTAATGTGGCCGAGGAGAGGAGGAAGAATTCGCTCTAATCCTGGTCACGTCGTCGGGCAAAACCATTCGTTAGCTGCGTGGATGGAAGTGGGAGAGTCGTCAATAATTACGAAGCTGCAGAATAAACAAAACTCAGTACAGTGCTCACTTCTCACTCCCACAATCTCATTAATTCTGCAAACCCTCAAGGTGTGAACATGCTAACTTAATTTGTTGCATTGTCAATTGTTTTCCTACTAATCAAAACCTGATTGCGATCCATACTAATCATAAGCTTTTGGTGATTGCGAGCTTAACCTTGAACAACGGGAACGACAGTAAAGTAAAAAATTATAATTCAGTGAGAACTAATAAAAAAACTGGATGATTTTCCTCAATTAAGTGCCTGCCCAAATGGAACCTATATGAATATTATTGATTAATCGTCAATTAATCTTTTATATTTGCCAAACCGACAGTAGTTTGGAGGTGAAACACTTTAGAATCCACTATCCAAACAAAAAATATGTCAACTATAACGGTAAATTTCTAATCAAGATGATGAGCAGCGAGAATTGATCTGAAAATGCCGAACAATTTAATGAGGTGTACCTAATTTCATCAAGGAGTTTGAAGAATTAAACGCAAGGGTTCTCATATTCTTTGATGGATCTAAAGAAATAGAAACGCGTCTCTCATTTCCCTGGTGGATGTTAGGAAGTAGAAGCAAGCTATATCCTATTAAATGATAGATATGATGAAGTAGTCATGAGTGTCTACCATGAACTTCTCTAGTGGCAAGATTCCAAAGATTTTGGGCCATTTCATCGGTACAACTGAGGGGCGCAACCGAGGGCAGGTGTTGCATTGGCTGCTCTTAAGCTCCCCTCGAGGGACACATGATAGGAATGCTATATGAGCTGCAGATACGTCTAGTTCAGCTACGACTGCTGCTGCTACGACTGCTGCAGCTACGGCTGCTACAGCCACGACTGCTGCCTCTATGACTGCTGCAGCTACGACTGCTGCTGCTACGACTGCTGCAGCTACGGCTGCTACAGCTACGACTGCTGCCTCTACGACTCCTGCAGCTGCGATTGCTGCCTCTGCGACTGCTGCAGCTACGACTGCTGCAGTTACGACTGCTGCAGCTACGACTGCCGTAAATTTAGTAGCCGTATCTGCATAACTGCAGCAGTCGTAGCTACGACTGCCGTAAATGTAGTAGCCGTATCTGCATAACTGCAGCAGTTATGCAGATACGGCTACTAAATTTACGGCCGTTCATGTTGCGGCTGCTACAGCTACGATTACTGAAGTTACGGCGGCTGCAGCAAAGGCTAGTGCAGCACCGAATGTGCAAGCTAAACAACTACTGCAGATGTGTCTGTTGTTGCTATACAACTGCATCAGTTACGGCAACTGTAGCTACATTTCTTGTAGCTACGACTGCTGCAGTTTCGACAGCTGCCGTTTCGTCTGTTTCAGTTTTACCAGCTACAGCTTCGACTCCTGCAGTTTCGTCTACTGCATTATTATCAGCTTCGTTTGATTCAGTTTCGTCAGCTGCAGCTTTGGCTGGCGCAGCTTAGACCGCTGAATCGGCTCAGCCAGGTTCGAAACATGATCAGTGGCTGATCGTTGACCATTCATTGGCAGGTTATAAATAAACTGCGTGCAAAACAAAACAAAAAGCGCGCGTTATAAAATTCAAAACGAAAGCGCGGATTATAAAAAGTTGGTAATGACCTTTCGGAGAAATCATTAATATCAAAAACCTAGCAGCTAGCTTTTTTAAAAAATCTCATTTCAGCCTACATGAGATAATGTTTAAAATAGTCGGAGCAACGCACATTTTTATTAAATTATTTGTGGCTAAAAAAGGAACTGTAACATTTAAAAAGCGTTATAAGGCAATAAAATGTGAATGCGGCATTATTGCAGATGGCATATGAACCATAATTCTTATTCGGTTCAATTATTGAAAAATTGTGGCAACAAATTCTCCATCAAATGAAATTGCTTTACTGTTAAGAAAAATAAATTCATCGATTTGGGTTTTATATCGGAATGTCTGTAATTGCGGTGAGATGGTTTGAATTTTAATGTAAGATAGGTTCTGTAGTGATCTCGTGTTGAAATATATTATTCAAGCGTGCGCTTTATTATTCACATTTACAAAACATGGTTTGGTGAGTAGGAACGCAATAAAAATATTATTTAAGTCCTCGTCAGATGTAAAAATTCTGCGTCAATTTATCTATAGGATAATAAGTTCTCAATGTTCATGATGATAAAATTTATGTGCAAAATAACTATCGTAGTTACTGTTCATGGAAAGAAAAGTTCGAGGGCATGTAGCGGAGGCCACAGAGGTTCATCTGGCGCGGCATGATGATGCTCGTTGGTGAAGGTCTCACTCATGAATGGTCTAAATTCGTGGGTGATTTATCAGCTCTGACATTTCTCACTCCAGGGCAAAGGAAAATGGACTTCAGGATTTTGCACATCGTCTGACTAGGAATAATTTAAATAAAAAATTTTGGCGATATTGAATTTGGCGTAAAAACTACGAGTAAGGATATATATACCTGCTAAATACATACCAGTTGTCCATTATTTTGTTCCCATTAATATTCGCAAAAATGAAACTATATGTATTGTAACTATTGATATATTAAATAATTTTAACTTTAATTTCAGCAATTTATGTCTTAATAATTTTTTCCATTTTCCTTGAAACAGATATGAATCGGCTTATAAGGTATTATTAACATTGCAAAATATACCGCATGACCATGATCACAAATAATTCACCACTCTAAATTACAGCCTTTGTTAATTAAGTTACATGGAATAATGCACACAGTAGAATTTCAAGAACATTCGCCGACTTAAATCTCTCAACTTTAAAGCTATTGAGCCGGAACAATCATAACTTCTGAAAGCGGCGAGAAAATTTCACCTAAAGTTTTCTCCTCCCACTGTAAATTGAATTATTCAGGTCTAATACATTATTTATGAATGAAATTAGATTCCTATTTGATATAAAAATTAAGAATGAGAATTATTATTGAAATTATCGAAAAAAATAAACGCAAGCGACTGAACCGAAACTGTAAGTCAACGACCACCGTGACACGTGGCAGATACCGAGCGTTGACCTCCAGAAAAACCGCATGGCGCACGTGAATATGCAAATAAAAGCAACTTGAATGTGAAAAAAGAAACTTTGATTCGTGATTCCGTTCCATTCGTGATTACAGTGAGCTTCGTGCGATAAGATGCTGGGCGAAAAGTATATAAAGGTAATGCTGCATGGAGAGGATATCACTGAGTGTTCTACTCTGCACAGCACTACTTATATACCCTCAGTCTCAGCGAACTGATGTGAGTAATGTGATATATAGTGATTGTTCTAGCATAAGCATCAGTACTCGGTCGGATTGTTAACATCTCCCAATTGTAGTCAAATGCTGAGTTTAATCAAACAAATATTTTTAGTTGCCTAAAGAATAATATGATTAGAATAATTGTCTAAGAATAATAATATTATTTAAGATGAAAGAATAAATTCTTTTTATAGATTCATTATGCGAAAGAGATCGAATTGGCTTTATTATTAATAGCAAATTTTAATGTCTTTACGGTTATTAAACCAGGAATTATTTTTCAGGAGAGCCAGTGAAATGTCGATCAAGGTCAAATTCGTAACTTTCGTTGGTGAGTTATTTGTAATATCACAATTTGCATGTTGAACTCTAAATATGGTTTTAAATGATTTTTGAAAAGAATAATTCGTTTTCTGTAAATTTCTGCAATTCAACAGTAGCACTTCCATGCTCAATCCTCTCGGACAGTTATTCTTCAATGACATAATGAGCAGAATACAAACATTTATCGCAATTAAAATAACACGTGCGACGAGTGTTGCCGATGAGGATTTTACTGATTTTTCAGCCACGTTACTGGTCGTCGAGGGCCTGGTAGTTCCACCCGACGACGCCGCCGTGGCAGGCAGCGAAGACTTCTTCACACGAGAAGAACAACCGCTGACCGACGCTCAAGGGAGATCAGCAGCGTACTCTCAGTACCATGACCAAACTGATTATGACCAATATCAATGGCAACAACCACAGGGAAATAATTACGATACCGACGAAGACACATGGTCACAAACCCAACACGGAAGTAGATACGATGGTGTGGAAAACCAGAAGCGACCCTTGATTTCATCGTTTGGAAAAATGGTTTATCAGGAACCATCTCAGGCTCAGGAGCGTTTCCCTCAAGCTTCCTACACTCACGGAAGTAAGACCTACGGACACGAGGATCCTCCTAAGTTTGCCTTGCGAACCCACTCTCGTGTTCCTCTCCTCAGCAGGCTACCGGCAAACGCTACTCGAATCAGGCCTAACATTGTTGATGGATTTACCTGCGACGGAAGGGTAATATTATTCAATAAAACTTACATCTCATGAAAGAACATCATTAAAATTGCTGGCAATATATCGATCGTTATATCATACCGAGTCAATTTATCTCTTTATATGAATAGATTTAGTTTAATTGTCAAATTTGCGACATTTTCATGTTTATTCATTTATACGTCCGATTTTCATTTTCCAGCCTTACGGATACTACGCGGACCCGCTCAACGACTGTCAGATCTATCACGTGTGTATGCCCCTGCACGGAATCTTCGCCAACGACAACTCCGTTCCGGACGCAACTTACATGTACAGTTTCATCTGCAATGACTTCCAGGCTTTTGACCAGCAGTCGCTGACCTGCGGTTACCGTTCAGAAGTAACCCCTTGCGAGGAGGCTGCCGGTCTCTACGATGTCGTCAATTCTAGGTTCTTCCGTGTTCCCTCAACCCCTGACAACGTCATTATATCCGTCCTCCCCTGACGAGTTATGTTCAATTTCTCTTGATTTCTTCATTAGGACATTTTAGACGGTAGTGAAGCCGACGTGTTCGGGTCGGATTTTATCACACGTTGCTTGTTGAATATCTGTTAGTTTTAATGGGCATTAATATATACTTAATTTTCATATTATTTAACTACTCTACTGGGAAGTGGTTTATATTTAACTTCTTATTAAAATGGTCGACAGCTCGAACCTCCTTTACTTATATATTGTAACAATAACCCAAATGTATTACGGTTTCTACATGATAAAAACTTCATGGTTAAAATTTTTTATTTGAAACATTTTCTTCATAATCGTTTTAGGGGATAAAATAAAATTGCAATTGAGATTTTTCACTCACCTACCTTCAGCTGCCGCAAACATTGTACACTCAGCCTCAGTCAAAGTTCACTTCCGGATTGAACTCGCCCCGCGTATACTCATTAATCGCGATCACTGACAGCCGTTAGCCATAAAGCTCGATTTTGGCCCAAAGCCATTCCACCGAGCCGACCAACCGCATTAATATGTTGATGAAGAGACAGGCACTTCTCGACCCTGGGGACATTTGTTGGCTTGCAACTGAAGGTTGGTTTCTGTATGAGGGTAGGTTTAAATAATAAAGCAGAGGCGAGCTCATACAATTACAGCGCTCTGGTCAACCGAGTGTCACGCTCGACACAAACGTCAGAAAACTACGGCTCCAGTAGTATGCAAGAAGAAAATGTATGGAAACTTCAATCGTTATGAAAAAGGCTCATGACTGAATCAACTAAAATAATGTTCACGTATAGAAAATGCAGTTAAAAGGATTTTAAATGTAATATGTTGAATTTACACGCTTACCTGCATTACACTCAAAACCCCGTGTTTGATACAATCATTATTACCGATTATCGACCAAAGCTGAAACACCGGATTCATAGTCAGCGTTCCCTGTTATCAAAAACACTTCTAATAGAGCTTTATGACGTGAGAAAGTACTTATAGTGTATCCTTAAACACCGTCGTGAGAGTAGACGATGAATGATGACTGCGCACGGTGCGCATTATGAACTTGACTTTAAATTGACAAACCGTTGTTCGAGCACCGTGATCCATTTTTAATTAGATTTGAGTGTGTAGTTCAGTTGGAATCAAGTCATAATATTCTTCAGTCCGATAACTTTCAATGAAGTCCTAGAGGAGAATTTAAGAATGCCAACTTCACTCGAACTCTCTGATCGGGTTCCGAAGTCATGGTCGCATTAAAGAACACAACAATAAGGGGCAAGCATGCGAATTGATAGGGAATTACATACTGAGCAGAGCCCGTAATGTCAAGCCGTTACGGTATGACACTTTTTTATCATCGCGGTGTGATTTTGCAGTCGCTGTTCACGGTACAAATTTGCTGAGATGCCAGAAGGAACTTGCAGTTCACTGTAGAAAATTTTCTGGAAGAAGTTTTTGTATGAAACAGTATTTAATGTCAAATTTAGGAATCATCTCCTCATTGCATTTTTTCAATTTTATGAATTATTGGGCAATTTGAAATCATTTATTCCGATAATATGGCACCGTGACTAAAGAAATATTCATTCATAGAATGATTTTTTGAATAATATAATGTCCTGTAAAATTAAGTTTATCAATCAAATTCCTTCATCAAAGTTTCGCTTGGATGTAATCTCGCAAGCTGATTTCGAATCCCTGGAAATTGTTTTCCTTTGGAAGCAAATTGTGAAAAGCGGCTCCGCAAGAGCGACTGCCTGTGCAGTTACCACAGGTTTAATGCCAGAGAAAACTCTTCGCACGCAATAACTCAAGCCTTGTGCCAGCGTCGAGGGGAGGTGTCGCTGGAGAGATCTTTTTGACTTGCAGGAAGGTCGAGGGTAAGGTGGATGAGGGTCGCTGTGATATTTATTGGCTCATCATCGATTCAACGAGGAACTGTGTCTAAAAAATTCTAAAGAAAAGCTGAATTTTGGATCAGCGAACGCAGCGAATTGAATAAAAACTTCCAACTTTGGTTCAGGTGACAGTGCGATTTACTGCCTTGAACAGCTGCGAAAAAATAGTTGTGAAGAATGTCCGTTTCCATCGAATAATTCAAGTCTAAGCTTGAAAATTCATTGCTTGGTAGTTTGAATCCCAGATTCGAGTTTTTTTTATTTAATTATGATTTTTTCCCCAAATTTAAAGAAAGTTTTTTTTTGCATCTGTCTGCAAAAAAAATCTTTATGGATATTTTCACCACGCGAATAAAACGGCATCTCTTTTTATGCATGAAGGTTCTTCGGCGGCAGCTCTCAGAAGCATGAAATTCGAACATTAGCGAAGGCGAAGAAGGATATTTCTAAAATAGTCGCCCAAATATTGCTTAATTCCTGGAAGATGAGAGCCAGCACTGGCTGGATCAGGGACTATAACAGCCAATATTAGGTGAGCCTATGTGTTCGCTCAGGCTGCAGGTCATGGATAAACGACACTCGCCATCTATAATTGCATTCGCACGCCCTGAATGGCGCTTAATCCTGCACTAATTGGCGGTCTCTGCGATGCTCCTCGAAGGCTGTAGGACTTACCTGACGCTGAGTAACTTTTAATTCGGTATTCGGAAAGCTTTTAATGATGTGTTAAAGCCTGCAACTCACAGAACGGATCCTTCATGATAAGTAAAGAATAAAAATAGCGAAAGGTCACGGTCTTCGATAAATTTGTCTTCATGAGTTTGTCTGTTGAAGTGCGGTAGTCAAGGAACGCATCAGTCGTCATTGGACGCAGCGCCCATAATAGTGTTTCTAATTTAATGACGTTTATTGATGTATGTTCATTCGATTGAGTCGGTAACTTGTACAACATGTATTTTTTTCTTCTGAACATTCAACGGCATTGCAATGTATCTCGAGCGATCAAACTGGCCGTCTGTCATAATATTGATTAAATTAATTAGTGGCCTGAGAATTTACGTCATTAATAAAAAATTAAATAATAAAAATGAATTATTTAAATAACTACGGGCTGAGAGAATATAAGCTATCTCCGTTCACGTCTTTCTCGTCCATTTCGTTGAGGCATAATATGACGAAGAACAGCAGCCGCTCTCCGCAGCACAGATCTGCCTCCGATGACAAACTTAAAAGGCCCACCGATTTTAGGAGCATCTGAAATTTGGAAGCTAATTTCCTGCTTCGTTGGTTTTCCTTCAGAAGATCAAGCTGCCCATTATTAAAAGAATATTTGGCGAGGCGGAGCGACCTTAGAAAAGCGACTCCATGGATTTAGCCAGGACGTCCAGCGAGAGCGGTGGTGATCCAAATGATATTCAAATCTAGATTTTTGATGGTCAACCGCCTCGAGATCACCGACTGCTATGCTTCATTTCTGACTAAATGAGAAAGGTGAAATGTTGGTGACGAAATTTTGACCACGATAAAAATAACTAACGCAATCGATTTAGGTGTGATACAACTTCAATTGAAATTCATTGATCACGTATGCTGCATCTGAATTTTTCAATCATTGGACAAGGCAAAAAAAATTAACAATGAAATGAATAAATAAATGAAGTGAATAAAAACGCTGGGCTCATCTCATAAATTTTCCAGAGCAGCTCATCGTATTACTTTCAAGTCGGATAGAAGACCAATGCCAGCAAAAAAACTATTTCATCAAAGGACTGCATTCAAATCTCGCCAAGAAAATTCACCGGAGAAAAGTTGGTCCGGATCCTCGAGGCCGGAGGCAGGAGCGTCCTAATTAGAAAGCGTGCTGAGCGAAAGGCGGCCTCCTCATAATTTGATTGAAATCCGCAGCTGCGAGCGCAGAGCTTGCCCCGCACCTGCGCCCGTCTACTTATTGAGTGTCTTTAATGAGAGGCGTGAGTGGTGTGACGCGTGAGTGGTGTGAGGCGTGAGTGGTGTGAGGCGTGAGTGGTGTGAGGCGTGAGTGGTGTGAGGCGTGAGTGGTGTTGGCGAAAATGGTGTTGAGTGGTGTGAGGCGTGTTGAGTGGTGCGAGTAGCGAATGGTGAGAGGCGTACAATGAGTGGGGTGAAGCTTAGTGTGAGATGAGTGGTGTGAGTCTTAGTGTGTGATGAGTGGTGTGAGGCTTAGAGTGAGATGTGTTGTGATGAGAGGCGTGAAACGTCGTGTTTGATGATTAACCTGCTACGAGAGTTACAACAACGTATACTTCTGTTATGTGATCTCTCCTTTCTTAAAAGTTATTCTTCCAACCTTATTAAATTTTAAAGTTAGGTTTCATATCCAGGGTAAGACCTCAGTCTCGACATATTCCAGCAATTAGTTACCAGACTAATATTCGCCGAACACATTAACTTCGTTTTCATCTTTTACGTCGTGCGTCGCCGAGCGTATAAAACGCGTCACCACGACGAGTCGACTTTGCCGTACTCCTGCCGTGTCCGGAGATTGATGAAAGGAACAGGCTCTGCACCGGAGCTCTTATCATTGTGGCACCCTCATAAATTGCATCTCTGCTTGCCATATGAGGGAAGGAGAAGGCCTGTTTTCAACGACAGCTTCTCCGCCATTGTACCTCCCCTATATAGGACGAAGGAGTTCATAGTGTTGCGAAAAGCAGGCATAATTAAAAGGGAATGAGTTGTTTAGATAAAGAATTCTGGATAACTGAGAGTGACGTGCAAGTGAAAAAAAATTAGATTAATAGTTTGGACCAAATTCGATGACTCTGTGGACTCGGAATTCGAGCGCTCACACTAAAGTGGCTGGTAAATGCTGAGAAATATCGCGCAACTACGGTTCCACGTCTTACTCTCATTCACCAAAAGTTGCTTCCATTTTAATTTATGTGTTTGCTTTGCTTCCCGCTGAATAATTGGTAGCGTCCGTGGCTGTAGAGTAAGTGCACAATACTACCGCGCGACTAGAGGCTCGTTTATGAAGCGCTTCTTTCCGGCTCTTAGAGCTTCCAAACCCACAAATGAAACAATAACAGCCGCGGGGCTTTCCAAAGCATCCGCGCAAAACTCCGTCTGAAAGTCAGAGATAGACGACCGCTGCGTTGCGCAAGTCGTAATGATTGTGTGTACATTTTGGGCATAAAAATATACTTAATGGTGGTAGCTACACGTTGAATTCTGCATTATACCAAGGCAGTATATATCGAATTTTCTGATGTTTATAAGTCTATTGCGTGTTCAAAATCCTGTGACCGCTATTCATTCCTCTAACCGAAGTGACATGACAGATATGATAAACAACGGTATTCTCTACTTAATCTTTTATGAAGTGGAAGGATGTAACATTACTTAATTGATGAAGATGCAATTTAAAAGATTTATTTCGGCCGAATAAATAATAAACAATCGACCGGAAATAGTGACGGCAGGAGAGTTATATAGAGTCCCTAGCGGTAGCAGAAACCAAAGTAAGCGAAATAACTCAATGAAAAATAAAATAATCCTCAAAATACAGCACTGAGAACAGAACAATAAAGAGAGAACTACCGAGCACCGATGCAAGCTGGGCTCACGACAAAAAACAGACAAGAAAAATTAAGGATTTTGGAAATTGAACACGGTAAAAATACAGGAGTGCAAACATACTGAACACAGTTGAGTCCCATAGAGTCCCTAGCGGTAGCAGAAACCAAAGTAAGCGAAATAACTCAATGAAAAATAAAATAATCCTCAAAATACAGCACTGAGAACAGAACAATAAAGAGAGAACTACCGAGCACCGATGCAAGCTGGGCTCACGGCAAAAAACAGACAAGAAAAATTAAGGATTTTGGAAATTGAACACGGTAAAAATACAGGAGTGCAAACATACTGAACACAGTTGGGCCGGCATCCCAGCACGTGCAATAACAGGCATCTGCCCACGCTCCAGGAAGCCGGCAAATCTTGCTCCGCTTGTGCTTTGTGCTGCCAAAAAATCTAGGAGGATCAAACGCCCGGAAATGGGCGTCGGAGAGCATCGTGTCCATCCCGTCACTCTTTCGAAAGCTCGCTCAAACACCAGCCTGTGAAGGCTTCTTAAAGCGTTTTACGTTGAAAAAATGCGAGACTTTAGAAATCGACAGCATCAACTTCCACATTGTCTTGAACGGTTCTATTTGTCTATCCTCTTTGAACTTTATTCGTTTGTCTATGTCTGTGCGGTAAAGTCAGTAAAAGTTGTAAAGCCAATTTCAATGGAGCTTGTGCATGAGAAATAAATAATCGAGGATTTAAAATATTTTGGACTTTTCTGGACCGTATCCTTAGAGTGTTCCGTTGCATTTGTTCTCGACTGTAGAATCATTAAATCAACTTACAAAAGAAAGGATGCCTAGCCACGAGGGGGTTCGAAGGAGGGTTTAGGTTATCCTCGTTACTGATTTATTTATTAGTCCTTGCTTACATACATCATGGATAACCTGTTATGAAATTTAAATTTTTGAATGATTTTTTCCGAATTGTAAATCAAATATCAAACTTTTGCCCAAGGTACGCCATTTTTATACTCATACAGAAATTCACCTATTTGAAAAATTATCAGCTACTGTGATTTAATATAAATTTATGATAAAGGTAAAACGAACAAATAATGGGATATTATCGATCGTGAAAAGTTGCAAAGCTCCTTTGTAGGTACGAGAAAAGTTACTAACGTGCAACTGATTGTGTAGCTCGATTCACATAAGAAATTAGAGTATAATTTGGCAATATAGATGAAATTTAATCACATTTTCCTCACAATAAAAGGAATATTGAAAACATTTCTGAATAATCTTCTTCTTATCAACAAATTACATAAAACAAATAAATTGATGCGAAACTAAATTTTTACCATAGGTTTAATCATTTTCAGAGCGGCATCCAAACAGTTCATTGCAACTTGCGGTGAGTAACAACCAATGAAAGGACTCGTGTAATTATGAAAGATTTACTATGCATTCAAGCCGAAATTCTACAAATAGACGCATATTATCATCTAAACAGCATGGAAAATAAAAAACAGTGTTCATACAAACACAGAAAAGCATAAAGTTGGTTAAAAAAGGCCCTATAAACCTTCTTAGCTACTCAGCTGCCTATAATTAACATAATAGTTAAAAAATGCGTCCGCTCGAACTTGTTACAGGCTGAAGTTGTTTGTACTCAAATTTGAAATATCCCGTAAGCGAAATTATATGAAATTAGAATTTATTTAACCACATTGAGCATTGCAGGTAGAAATAACCAAAAATATCCCATAACATGAGTAATATATGCGGCTTCAGCATGGCAGATGGAATGGCAATGAAGAGACGTGACTCTGCTCAGATCATCACTCAAGCTCGAATTTCTCATTAACGTCTAGTGCCATGCATTTAATTGACAGGAACCCAGAGTTCGCGTAGCCACACAATTAATTTCTATGACAGCACCGCAGTTCCAGCCTTAATTTTATCAAAAAAAAGCTTGTCATTGTCAGCTTGTAGAACTTCCACGTGCAAGTTCTCGCTTAACGCAATTAGTTCAAATCTCCCCACGCTATCTATAAGCGAACAAGAAACGCGAACTATTTATTTTATTTACTGCTAGACATTTTTCGGAATAAATATTAAACAATATACAATAACATCCTTATTTACAATACTATATGTTTTTTCTGTTCATAGAAAAACGCAAAAAGTAAAGGTTTTAATTTTTAAATGTCAATAAAAAATTTTGAACTGTTTTTTTTCGAAGTTACGATGGTAAAATTAATAATGGTTGAAGTTCTACATAACAGGTTATTTAGCTATATTTTTTTAATTTTGGCTTGCAAAAGTTAACGACACAGCTCATTTTTTAAGAAACGCTTTGACTGACTCAGATGGAGGGATATCAAACGTTCAGATACGTCGTTGATCTTATCAAAGTTTTAAATATGAAATATTATAAATTGGGTCATTCAAAATGTCCAGACATTAGAAAGGAGTTCTGCTCACGATAAGATTCTCAATGGTTTTGAAAAAGAAACATCATAAGGCAGAAATTCATGCCAATGAATGTTGTAGCCTCCTTGTCAAATGTCTCGCTGTCGCAATAGGCTTGAGAAAAAATATTCTCATGGCAGTCTTTTATTAGTCAAAAAAATAACTAAGAAAACAATAAACGGCAACGCGAGTTATAAAACTCAGACATAATAATATCATACACATATCTGAATGTTCAGAAGCAAGATATAAGCATTCGTTTACTTGACCATTGACCAATAGTTCGCCGTGTTCACTAGTGCCGTTGTTGTTGTCGTGGTTCCCCGGTCTCATTTTTATAAGAGACCCCCCTCGCGCAAGTACGAACTAGTGCCGTTGATATAGTGTGTGCAGAGGTGAAGAGTAGCGCTACGCAGCGATTCGTCCAAGCGCTGCCAGCAAGAGCCGCAGCGAGAGATGAGCGACCGTCGCAGACGATGGAGAATCTGAGAGCCCGCAAGAACAAAGTCTGATAATTGTCTTATGAAATGTTTCTAATTATATATATTTCAAATTTTATGCAATTATTTTAAATTACCTAAATCTAATGAGTCAAAAAACTCAGATAAAATATGACGTGTGTGTAATTACTGCACACAGAAACGCAGCAATTGAGCCTCCTCCTTATCTCGACGTGGAAAGAATAAATAAATTGATAAATATTGTAATTAGGCAGGTAAAGAAGAAGCGTTTGAATTTTTTCAACATCCAAAAAGTTTGAATTTTGTTGAACAAACTATTACCGCAATAAGTAGAAATAATTTCACCCACCTAAGTCACAGCAATAAAATCACAAGTTGTTTAAAGCCTGTAAACTCACTGAAAAAATAGAAGGGGTCATGCCGGCTTTCCTCTGCTTGAGTGTGAGGTTGAAAGTTCGTCTCTCTAACGGCCGTCTCTTGACTCTGCAGGTAAATGCTGGCGATCTTGGCGATACACTTCAGCCGCAAGTGTCCGCTGCACTCGCAATGAAAAAAAAACAGTCAGTTGATCAAGTTACTATAATTTGAGCGGCTAAAATTAGAGGCTAGTTTTAGAGGCTAAATTACAGTTAAGGAACACTGAGTATGTGAAATATGTAATTATACCTTGAATAAATTCACTTGCTTATAAGGTACGATATATTTACCTAAGCGCAGGGAGAAAAGTAATTTTTTTAGGCTTTATCACCAGATGTGGTAAATTAGACAATTATATGAGATGAATACATCGGGCTGTATGAACTTTTTGAAATTATTCCACGACAAATATTGTTGGATCACAATTGCTTGAATTTCTCTTCAATACTACAGACACAACAAAAGAAGATTATTCATTTGTAAATAAACTCATTTTTACAGTAAAATTTGCATTCGCAACATTTTTCATCCATTATTGCATTTAATTAAATAGCAATATTTTTTTACTGATTGAACCGAAAGATTTGTTTGTTCCATATATTTTTTTAAATTGACTGCAAACGAATCTCGGGGATAATCATGTGGAAAATTGTCTTGCGAATTGAGATGTTGCGAAAAGTAATTGAAGATATGGCTGTAATTCCCGCGGAGTTGAACGCATTCGGCAACTGCAGCGGCCACTGAAGGTGAAGGCAAAACTATTGCCTATCTCTCCCTTAGTGATTTGATGCTTAAAGCTCTGTACTGAGGCTTCGCACTCCCTGAGTCTGGTTTATTAGCGAAAATCAAGATATCACATGCCTCAATCATAACAAGAGAATTAACAGCATGTGTGGGCCCTAGACTATTTACTTCCAGTTCCCGTAAGATGTAGTTCATATAAATGAAGCGAAGCAGACGAACAACATATGCGTACACAAACCATCTTTGCACATTTACATTCGGCATATCTTGTATTATGCAACTTTCCTAGCGCATACAATAAATAACAGTTAAGTGAAAATAGCAGAAGCCAGTTTTTAAATCCATTATCTAGTATTGTTTCACAAAAGTATCTTTCAAATGAATGTACCTGAGGAAATGTCGCTTTGACGTCCTGAAGTAGAGACCTAAGACTGCAGTTTGCAGGCCGTCGGTCTCCTGTATGGGAGTGTAGTGGCGAAGCAGACGCGGTTCAACCTGCCGAAGCGTGCGCCCACAATAAACAATTTGACATGTTGTAAGAGCAAGAAAAAGTTTATGTGGCCATACGGGCATGCGAAATGTGACGTCTCGCTTTACACACAATCGCATACTAACCCTCTGGGGCTACGATAGACACGCGAAGAGAATTTTTATTTGCATGTGCCATAATTCGATTTGTGCCCTGTAAATTCAATTTTTTAAATGCACGTGAATGAGTTAAATAATTACAGTTGTACAGTTAAATAATTATTCTGACATTAAAAACGCTTTTTGGTTTTATGGGACACCAAAATAAAATGAGTCTATTCGTTCACGATTAAATTCTTTGGTGGTCTCATTTGCCCTTGTCAGTCGCCTGTAGACTTTGGAGTAAGGTACGTTGTTACGCAAGAACCACATAAAAATGTATATTTAAGACACAAAACAGAAAAGTTTGCATATAGTAAAATCTATCGAAATTCTTAGTTCTGAGGCATAAGGCATCACCAGCTCGCCCCTCGGCACCGAGTTAGCGACGTCTCGCTCACCGCCATCTGCCGATCTCTTATGGAGCTCCCGTCGAGCTTATCGGATTACGGTGAGAGAAAAATGCGGCTAAATTTATTTAAGAGTCGTCACAGAGAGAGTATAATTTAAGTGAACACAGAAATGGCCCCAAAAAAGGCTCCCGAAAGACCAAGGTGAGAAAATACGCGAGGCCGGTCCGAAAATATCGTAATGTCATCAGCAACACGAGTCTCAGCAGCAGTTTCTGAGAGCGTCTTATTGAAGTCTCTCTACTTAAATTTAGAATATTTTGGACATAATTTGAGTCATAAATACATTTATTTAATTAAGCGCGTCGATTTTAATACCATCATATCAAAGCGAGCGATCAAAACCCTCATAACGCCTCACTCACCACCCGCTGCTCGTTGATGTACCCTCATAACGCCTCACTCACCACCCGCTGCTCGTTGATGTACCCTCATAACGCCTCACTCACCACCCGCTGCTCATTGATGTACCCTCATAACGCCTCACTCACCACCCGCTGCTCGTTGATGTACCACTCGAGGGTGGCGGGAGGCTGGGAGTGTGGTGAGGAGCAGTTGACGTTCACCACGTCCCCTGCCTCGTACGCTGTATGGGCGCCCTCCAGCACAGGGGCGCTCGCCGGCAGGTCTGGACGCCGGGGGTGGCAGCCAGTGCCGTGCGGTGGATGTTAGTGTCGAGTGGTGGATGTTTGTGTCGTGCGATGGATGTTCGTGTCGAGTGGTGGATGTTTGTGCCGTGCGGTGGATGTTTGTGTCGTGTGGTGGATGTTTGTGCCGTGCGATGGATGTTTAAGTCGTGCGGTGGATGTTAGTGCCGTGCGGTGGATGTTTGTGTCGTGCGGTGGATGTTTGTGCCGTGCGGTGGATGTTTGTGTCGTGCGGTGGATGTTAGTGCAGTGCGGTGGATGTTTGTGCCGTGCGGTGGATGCTTGTGCCGTGCGGCGGATGTTTGTGCCGTGCGGTGGATGTTTGTGCCGTGCGGTGGATGTTTGTGCCATGCGGTGGATGTTTGTGCCGTGCGGTGGATGTTTGTGCCGTGCGGTGGATGTTTGTGCCGTGCGGTGGATGTTTGTGCCGTGCGGTGGATGTTTGTGCCGTGCGGTGGATGCCAGTCCCGGGTAGAGGCAAAATTAAATTAGAGACAAGAAACGGACAAGATATTTATGTTAGAATATTTCATACGATCGCTTCTCTGTTCATAGCAATGATTATTAAGCTTAAGATGCTTTACTTGAAACCTAATAAAATTGCAGCCTAATTATAAAGAAATTTCGCTTTGAGGATAATTGGGGAACAGGTACATGATGAAACTGTTTAAAATTGCTTCTCCTAAGTATTTGTTATAACTTTTTAGCTTAAATAACTTCCTCAATTAAATTCTTGAAAAATTTTTCAATAGCAGCTACTTTAATCGATGCCGCGTGTCATTATGCTACTACGATGTCTTAATTCGAGTTCCTATTCATTCCATCAATAACGTAACATAGTAACATATCAACACACAACGTCAATAGCTCAGCAGCAATAACACCATTTCATATATAATTGTAATTCCAGCCGTACAAACAGTGGATTTTGTTCAGCAATAACTAACCTATTACTGTCATATTTCCTTCACCAAATCTGGTCACGAACTGCGGTGCCTCCGTGATGACCTCGCAGCGGTACGCGCCTGACGCGCTCAGCGGGAGCCCCACTAGCCGCACGTGGCCCATTGACGTCGCAGACGTCTGGCAGGCAACACGTGCTTAGCGACGTCACAGACTTTGCCTTTTTGTTTAACTGAATTTTGGCTCTTTAGGAATAAATTACGATTCTAGTATCATAAAAGTTTATTAATTTTTAGATGGGAATGATTCATGCCAAGAATGCAATATATCAGAAATTTATGTCTTTACTAATGAATTATTATAATGATTTATACCATCATGCAAGTTTTTTTCATGTCAGAAAGATTATAATCTAGGATGTCAAATTTTTGAATGATTTAATTTTGAGCATCAGAGCCAAATGTCATCCAACAGCTGTCTGCCAATATTTTACAAATCTGCACATGTATCGGAAATTTTTAGAGATTCTGGTGCTTTTTTTTATTTATGCAACTAATTTTATGCATATTTAACCTTGCGTTAAAGTGCAACACGGCAACCTAACATTGTATTTTCCTTTGTTTATTTTAATGAAAATAAGTAAGCAGCATCTCTAACAGAAGCAATGTGTGAGAATAATCCATTATCCTCATATGATTTACTTAATCGCCAATCTACGACGCAATATATTCACATAACTGACTTCATCTGCTCAACAAATCCACTTCATCTCCTTTATTTGAAGCAGGAAAAACTCACATCGACATTGACCCCCGGCACCTGGAAGACCGTCTTAGTCTGCCTGTTGGCAGGAATGTACTGGTAGAACTGACTGTCTCCCTTGTACCACTTGAGACTGTACAGCGTAGCGCCCTCCAGGTCGTAGTGGCAGAGCAGCTCTGCGGCATCGCCACGAATCTTGTAGACTGGAACCTCAACTTTGACCACAAGGGCCTCTGCCGCTCCCCTCAAGTCTTGGATGGAGGGAACAATTCAAGATTGTAAAATTTTTCAAATAACGTAAGACCCTATAAGATCATGATCATTAAAATAATTATTTAAAATTTATTACAACAAAAATTATTTTTACCATTCTTTCGAACACCATCAGTTGTATTTCTTCTTGAGAAAATTATTGATGATTGGAATTAAATGCGATTTTCTATGCTTGCTTGAAACAATTTTGCTGAAATTGGATCGCTCTTTCTGAGCAGTCGAGACCCAAGCGAGGCTAGTAAAGATCTTCAGTGCGGCAGCGGAGGCTTCCACTCACGGCTTCAACCTCAATTTTAATTCCGTTCTGGGCTCGCCAAGTTCCTGAAGTCAAATCTTGTTGTCAGAAATATGCCCGTCGTTTGTTTCTGCGCCTCGAGCCGCACTATAAACACGCGTTCCAAGCATTCCTTCTCAGGGCCAAGAGCAAGAAAAGGTGCGGCGAAAACGCGCTGAACTTGACTGAGAGGCCGGCATAACAGCAATCATGCTGAACTTAACTGAGTTGCCGGCAAAGCTGTTGTCATGCTGAAATTGACTGAGCAGCTGGCACAACAGCAATCATGCTGAACTTGACTGAGCTGCCGGTAAAGCTGTTGTCATGCTGAACTTGACTGAGCCGCCGGCACAGCTGCTATCATGCTGAACTTGACTGAGCTGTCGCCGCAGCTGATGTCAAATGCTTGGAGTCATAATCTTCTGTTCAGTAATTCACGAAAGTTCCCGCCTATACTCACTCTCTCTCATGGCTAAAAGCATTGACATGTTTACTCATTTGCAGAACATGGCAGCAGGCCGATGATGTGAACTGCACGTTCGGATATTTCTTCTAATTCCTTTGTTCGTTGCTGACTGATTCCGCAAATAAATTTTGCCCATTTGAGTTTTTCTTCTTATTTTTAATTATACCATGTTTTAAATAGTTCTGAAGTAATAATAATATTCAAATTATAGCGAAGACGAACCATTATAATAGCTAAATTTATAACACGTACCGGTTCAGAGATCTATCATCGTCTTCTGATTATTAATTGAAATAAAGAAGTACAGAAATTAAAGGCTCACCTGAGAGCAGCAGGAGCAGTGCAGTCAGCAAGAATTGTTCCATGGCTGCTGCTGGAGCAACTACTGCTGAAGGGAGGTACTGAAGTATCCGATGGAAACACTGCAGCGAGTGGAATGACTTTACAAATTTGATTGACTTTTCAGAGAACAGTTTGCAATAATTTCAATCAGTGATTATACTTGGTGCTGTTGCTATTTTACATTCTGCAAAAGAACTATAGAGCGCGGGCTTCCATTAATGAAGCTTAATATCATCTTTTAATTCATCTATTTTATATAGCAGAAGTCTAAGGTGCCTAAATTTACTATTACTTATGGCAGTAGATAGAAATGCAATTGTAACCCTTCATGAAAATGGCAATGAAGTCATTGCAAAAAAGCTCCAAATTCGTCGTGAAACTGTATGGAAGGTGGTAAAAAAATTCAAGGAAACTGGTAAAACATGCAATCGACCTGATCAAGGAAGTAAACGAAGTGTCCGAACAAAACAATTGATCAAAAACGAGGGAGAAGTTGAGGAGAAACCATCGCCGCTCAGCTGCAAAATTGGCTGCAGAAGCAGGAGTCAGTCAGACATCAATGCGTAGAGTCCTCAAAGATGACCTCAAAACCTCCCCTTACAAGATGCAAACAAGGCATGAACTAACAGACCGTCATGAACGAATGAGGCTCGAAAGGTGCCAGCACATTCTGGATCTCATTGAGGATGGCACGCTGCCCTACTTGGTGTTCAGTGAAGAGAAAAAATTTGACATTGAACAAAGCGTTAAGAGGAGTGAAATTGAACAGTCAGCGACACATTTCGGACATTTTGGAAGCTGTGTTGTTACCTTGGGCCCGTAAACACATCAACGGCTCACCATGGGGTTTTCAACAAGACTCTGCCCCATCACATTACTCAAACATGACCCAAAACTGGATTCAGGGTCACATCCCAGCGTTCATTAGCAAAAATGAATGGCCCTTAAGAAGCCCTGATTCGAATCCTCTCGACTTTTCTGTGTGGGCTATTTTAGAGAGTAGGGTCTGCAGAACACCTCATGATTCTTTGGATAGTTTGAAGTCTAAATTGACACGAGAATGGGACTTGATCCCTCAAGAAATGTTGCGTGTCTCCTGTGAAGCTTTCCCGCGTAGATTGGAGGCCGTCATTAAAAATAAGGGTGGTCATATTGAATAAATATATCTGAGAATTGTTTAGGTAATTCTTGGCTACTAGCTCATCCAATAAAAAACAATGCACCTGTTTGTTTCATTGAGAAATAACAAAAAAACATGCGTTGTCCTAAATATGGCCGACCCTGTAGTTGATAAGAGAAATATTTTAAAACAAACCTGCAACTTTTCGTCAGACTAAGTTGCAGGTTTGGTCAGAATCTAAGAATCGGTCAGACATTGTGCGACGAGTTGTTTATGAACTCAAATAGGATTTGTCTAGTCAACACTGCAGGAAACATTCAGCTGACGATATAAACTTTATACATAACTTAAATACGCAACGACTAATAAACATAATTCTAAAGGAGAAGTATCAAGAAGAAAAATTGATTTATAACAACTGGTGAGAAAAAATTACTTGCTTTCGATGAGAAATTATTGATGGTGTTCATTGCTTGAAAGTCCAAACAGCATTCAGAAATGAAAAACTGAATGGGTAACTAACGGATTTACGATTCGCTTATCAGCTTTCATTAGTCACTTGGGGAGATATTTTGTAATTCCCTATAGTTATCGTTAAGGGGACCGACCGGGCATACGGAAAACTTCTACAGTTATTATCCGATTGTCATGAAACTTCACATACATACGTAAAATGTAAAATAAAAAACATTTTGCTCCTATGAATTTTTCGAAAAAATTGATAAAAAACGTGAAATTCATAGAAAACGGCTAAAAAGGGGTACTTCAGAAAATCTATCTCCTCCCACAAATATCATCCTACCACATCGAGACACGTATCATTCGATTCGTAAAGACCATATCTATCGACTCTAACATCACTTTTTTTATATCTAATTTCTTAAAGAACTCTCCCACCCGCTTCCCTTTAAAGAGACGTCATTAACGTAAATATTGGCGTACAGCGATGGCAGTGGTACCATTGGAAAGAGCAGAATTGCAGCTTTCAGATGAGCACAAAAACCGAAAAACGCCAAAATTGAAAATTTTAGCCCGGTCGGTCCCCTTAAAAGATCTTGCTGTTTATAATTCGCTGCTGTGGAGCTCATTGTCATACTTTTCACTGTATTAAACTTGAGAGCATTGGTTCTGAACGTGTGAAAATTTAAGCGGCGTATCTAGAGCAAATGAAAATACGGGAAAATTTGCATGTTTGAAACAATGTAAAATTTTGATGATTCCATCGCCATTACAACCAAATTGCCGCTAGCTCTCCTGCGCAGCCATGTTGTCAGCTACACGAGTGTGCTATATAAAGATCAGAAGGATCAGAAACCTGAGATTTCTTTGCATTCGAAAAATTTACGGCAAGCCAATAACACTGATTTTTCGTGATACGGTTGCTGAGAATATCCTCTCACTTCCCGGAACCATTCACGGCTCGCAGAAAATTCATCAGTTTTTACCAATATTTTTGAACTCAGAAACTCGACTTCTAAAAATTTGCAGCGCAATTAGTAGGAGGTTACCAAATTTTTTGTGCCAGTCATCGAGTACGCATTCACACTAAAGAAAATTTAGAATTCGTTTTAGAAATTATGAATGTGTTTAGATAAATTCATCGGGACGAAAAATGAGACCGACTTCTTATTTCACCAGAGCATTTGATATTATAAGTAAAAATCATAAAGGATCTTCAGTTCTCGTCGAAAAATATCCTTTTTATCGTTGTTAGTCTAATGTTGAGGATATCAACAAGTTGTCTTCCATTGATGAAAACTCGTGTTTTCAACCGTTCAAAGGTTTTGCCAGAGAAATGAACAGAACTTAATTGCGCATGTAACTGACTTATGATGAAACAAAGTATTGGTAAAAAAATAATACTATAAGCCTCGTAACATTATTGTGGCCCTCATATTGGGTCATTTTAATTGATATAGTTTATCTTCACATTTTTAGTCAAATGATATTCTTACGGGAAATTAATCATCATTAGACGGCATTGCGCTCTGCGTTGAGATGGAGCAGTTCGATGAGATGATGAATCTCCTCCCCCCCGCTTCTCCGCCGATAGTGCTTATGTCAGGAAGATCAGACGCTTTAGTAGCACATTTTTAGACCCACATATATGTCGCCATTTAGTTTTGATCTAAACCAGCTGCATGATTGAATGTCATATTCGAAAAAATGTATTTGTTTACACTTGCACAAACACTATTAACATGACTTGTATAAGACAAAAATGTCATAGCTTGTCGCCCTGTATTACTAATCCATGATTATTCATCGTAAAAAATAGCGATATCGCTTAATTAGTAAGATTAAAGACGTTTTTAGCTTGAACCTGCAGCGAATGACCGCACTGTACTTCATACGTGATCTTTCTTGTTTCAAGTGAACTTCTCTACAGAGATGACACTCACGGTGTTCTAGCTTCATAGGAAATCAGTAGTTAAGTCACGCAGAGCCAATTTTTTCCGTGAACTTTGTTCCGCGATGTCACTCCGACAACGCGCCGTCACCAAGCTCATCTTGTACCGAGGCTGTCCGCAACTTTCTAGCTATCGTCTTCAACCTCAGCTAATTTAGTTCACGCCATCAAGCTTGATTTACAACAAAGTCATGAGATACTGTGACACAATATGTGAAACTATACCTAATAGTCCTAAATCTACCCACTCTTGCGCTAGAACTCCACATGCTAACGCTATCAACTACATTCTAACTCTGCCTATATAATTAACATAAAAATTACGTACCTACCGTAACTTCAATAAACACTTCAAATGAAATGCAGGATACTTGTGGATTGTCTGTGTCATGATTGAGCTTTACGTAACGCGGGTTCAAAGACTGGGCAGACCACAGACGTCTGCAATGCTCCATTCCACAATGCTCCATGTATGTATGACAACGTCTGCATTGCTGCAAACTCGACAGCCGCCTGAGCCAAGTCCTACGTAGCCTTTTATACTGAATGAGAAAGCCGGCAGGTTCTCGTTATTGGCTTCAAAATCGGTGAACCGTAGAAAATTTGGTAGGCTCTGAAAATTTTTTTTATATATATATATGAAAACTAACTACAAAATTTACATGTAGCCGGTTGGGGAGTATATCTCTCTTCAACCGACACTGCGAGCGATAGCGGCGCGAGGTGCCCCTTGTCGGGCTACAATACCTCGACGATGTAAACAAGTTGGTGCACTCTACACGCCCAGCATCGCCGTCCTGCACAGTGGAGCGCGTGATAAATATCCGACCAATGAAACGATATCAGATTCCTCCATCCATAGACATCCTTGTAATCGTGTCGCTATGCGTAACTTTAGTAAGGCTTAAATGTGTAACTTTCGTTACTAAAATCCAGTGTTTGGAAGAAACCATCCGCAATCAGTTCCCTAACTCTAGGTAGAGGGAAACACGTCGATTAAAAAAGACACTTCTAGCAATCAGCGTTTCACGGACAGAATGTATCGCGTCGTCGACCCTTCCAAAAAAGCGTGAGAAGCGTCGCTATGTATGGGCGCTTTTCGCGCCACCAAACCCAATATCGCATCGACGATGCAGGCTTTGTTGCGGAGGAATGATCGCGGTGCCGTATTGAGCTGGAGACTCTCAGCTCGAAGCCATTGTCGGCTGGCGGGCTGGAATAACAGCGGAAATGGACGCCGTTTGCCACGCCATCAAATGCTTCCGTAGAACAGACTCGAAAACGTCAACAACTCCTGCAGAGTGTTCGTCCTGACTAACACAAAACGTTAACAACAATTCGCTTGTGATTTTTGATCTAAAAACAATGAACTCTGGCAGAAACTCGTGTTAAAATAATTTTTCACTCTAATTGCGAAATTGATTATTTTTAGAGACGCGACATGCGACAACGATTATGTGTTCATGGTTTGTTAGGCTAGAAGATTGTCACGTTAACAGTGTAGATTTATAAAAAAAATGCTCCAATGTGGATTTTGAAATGTCTTGGTATTTAAAATCTGTCATTTTCCAGCTCCTTTTAAGGTAACTTTTAATGACCGAAATTATATCCTTATGAATAATACTGGTAGAAGATCATTTCATTAACAAAAATATCCAAC